CAGGATTGAAAATAATCCGGAAATTACAAAAAAAAGGCTAAACAAGGTAAAATGAACACCTGGGGCAAAGGGCACCTGTTAGTTAGAACACAAAAGACTAAATAACCATGGCTAAATGTTATTATGTCTAGGTCACAAAGTGGAGAGGAGTTAATTACAAGATTAACTAGTTTATAAGTAAAGAATTAGCTTAACATTAATGAATCAACGAGAAAGGGAACACATTATGTATATGTAAGAAAGAGAAAATGATAAATCAGATACAGGATAGGGCCTGTATTGCACAAACAATATGCGCATATTTGGTGGCTTATATTGGCTTGTAATGCTTGTCACCTAAAGCACAGAATGCACATATGCCAGTAAGAGACCGATCAATCTCAGTTCTAAACGTCAATGGGAAGATTCAAACAAACAATACAAAATGGATTTAGATAGATAGATAGATAGATAGATAGATAGATAGATAGATAGATAGATAGATAGATAGATAGATAGATAGATAGATAGATAGATAGATAGATAGATAGATAGATAGATAGATAGATAGATAGATAGATGTGTGGATAGATAGATAGATAGATAGATAGATAGATAGATAGATAGATAGATAGATAGATAGATAGATAGATAGATAGATAGATAGATAGATAGATAGATAGATAGATAGATAGATAGATGTGTGGATAGATAGATAGATAGATAGATGTGTGGATAGATAGATAGATAGATAGATAGATAGATAGATAGATAGATAGATAGATAGATAGATAGATAGATAGATAGATAGATAGATAGATAGATAGATAGATAGATAGATAGATAGATAGATAGATAGATAGATAGATAGATAGATAGATAGATAGATAGATAGATAGATAGATAGATAGATAGATAGATAGATAGATAGATAGATAGATAGATAGATAGATAGATAGATAGATAGATAGATAGATAGATAGATAGATAGATAGATAGATAGATAGATAGATAGATAGATAGATAGATAGATAGATAGATAGATAGATAGATAGATAGATAGATAGATAGATAGATAGATAGATAGATAGATAGATAGATAGATAGATAGATAGATAGATAGATAGATAGATAGATAGATAGATAGATAGATAGATAGATAGATAGATAGATAGATAGATAGATAGATAGATAGATAGATAGATAGATAGATAGATAGATAGATAGATAGATAGATAGATAGATAGATAGATAGATAGATAGATAGATAGATAGATATAATAAGATTTTTAACTCTTAGAGTCGTGGAACAGATACAATTTTAAGGTTCCCATCCGATTCGCTTGACGACACACCTTTACTAGAATAACTGACCTGTCTGTTTTTTTCCCTCCATATGAATAAATTATTTACATGAATTGATTGTTTATGATCAATACTTGGATTATCGGAAGTAATGGTGAATTCTCTAAGTTTGAATAAAATATGGTTGCCAAGTTATATATGGTTTTGATTTTAAAATACTACGGTAAAACAACCAATAAATACTAATCTTTTTCCGAATTGTGTACTTGACACTACCTTTTTACTCATTTGTCTATTGCAGACTACGTTAAGAAGAGGTTATTTGAAATGGGAAATATTCTTAGATAAATCGGTTGATTGGCTACTTACCAAGGAGTCATTTTAAAAAAAGCAATTATCTGTTCCTTTCATAAATTTGGATAACGTAAAAAGAAGACGAAGATTGTCAGAATAATGTGGTACATTAGCTGGGCGACGTTTTATATCCGTTTTTCGATGTTCAATATGTGTGTGATATCAAGCGTTTTCGGGCATATTTCTGTTCATTTACTGGGTGACTGTTACATATAAGAGCACAAATTTCAGTCCAAACTCTAATTTTCACTGTTTGATTTTTTCATACAGTATATTGTGATGCGCGTGTTCATAGAAAATAAATGTCAGTAGCTTCAGATGATTTAAATGAAATACCCAGTGAATACTCTACTCTTACATTCCAGTACTCACCTACTAAATGGATGGAAATATACCCAAAAATGCTATATTCTGAACTTCTATTAGAAATTAAAAAACTGAGAGGCAACCTGGTGCAACTATCGCAACACATTTTGAACAATCTGATCACACATATATGCTCTATAAGCGATATTTGGATGACGTTGTAGTGATTTAAGACAAAACGGAGGATATGAATTGTTTATTAAATAAACATAACGCTCACTTAAATTACATCAACCTTTCATGTGAAGAGAAGAACAACTAGTTTCATTTTCTAGATATATGTAGAAAAGATGGCTCAACCGAGCTAAACGTTTTCAGAAAGCCAACTTGGACGGGCCATTGTCTAAGTCGTTATAGTTATTACCTAGCGCGATGCAAATTGAGATTGGTAGACAGCCTATTTAATTGGATTGACCGTATTTGTACAAATGATACTGTTGAAGACGAAGTGAGGCTATTATTAAAACACCAATGGAGAATGGTTATCTTCTAAGATTCACAAGTCGATGGAAAGGTTACAGTATGGTGAGACCTACTATACATCTGGCACCATAAGAGCTTGTCTACATTACTGTATTATTCAGAGGTGAGTCAACACAGGCGTGTGTTGAAACAAAGGCTCAAAGCTGTTGTGAGTAAAACATACGACGCAGTAAAGATCAGTGTCCCTCAAAAAAACAGAGTTCGTGGTTTATCAATGGGTTTCAATGGTTGTCTAACCAAGGTCAGTTATTGATGCCAACCGAAAATCCCAGTAGTCTCCCATACTTATAAAGCCTATTGCTCGGTATCGTATTGAAATGTCTTAGTTCTATACCTATCAGAATTGATAAACTGTAGTGTGTTACAACTACGCATGCCATTTATTCATAATCTCAAGATCTATGGCAGATAATCTGAATTTCCGATTGGAGGTTCGAATAAATCTCATGTACTATCGATTTTGTGACGAGGGTAAGTAGATTCATTCCTAACAGTGTAAGCACAAGCACAGAATTGAGATTATGAATAGGAAAAAAACTCGGTGTGCATGTTGCATAACTAATTTATCTTAAACAAAATCTATCACAATACGATATCAGCAAACATAATCTGACCTCTGATTTATAAGTAAGTTTATTTTTACCTATCTAAACTATTATGTAATCAGAAAGGGGTTTTGTGGATATTATAGTAATTTAATGGTTGAGTTCATGAGTCGGTTGAAGCTAGACCACCATGGAAAACCTGAAAGTACTGGAGGGCCGTTTCCTCTGAGTGTGGGACTCCTCAGCCATGCGCACCCACGATCCCACACGCAGGACTCCAACCCAAAACTTATAGGTCCCTTGCATGAAGACTTAAGCTGTAGACCATTGAGCCAGCATCCAACGGTGTCAGTGTGTAACTTCAACCAATCCACGATATTGCGTGACCGTCTATCATTGTCTCCAGTGAGTAACTGCCTTACAACAGACCCTTTTGAACTCCACTGGTCACAACTTCTCACTTGAACTCCAGGAAATACATCTTGAAGCCAGTCACTACTGAGTATATGATGATTATTATCTGATATTATATAATCAGTCATATTTTTGCTTAGTTATACTGAATAATTAATACTATTTTCTTTCTTATGACTATCAATCTGTTGTTTTAACCTTTGATGATAGTTATATATATGTACGAACAAAATCTCAATCAAATGCACTTTATATCAAGTCACATAAATCGGTGACCATATTGAAACTAAATCAACAGAGTCTAATTAGTATTAAGGACTAAGTACACATGACATTGATCACTACCCAAAGATCAATCTTTGTAAATAACAGTCCTACAGACGATATATTGCTGCCTGAACAGTTCCGTAATAACTTCCCAGACTGCGACACAGGAAGACTAAGGTTCAAATTTCACAGGAAGCATTAATTCCCTTAAGATTATAGGTTAATCATTTTGAAGCGAGATTAGTACAAAAACTAGGTTCATGGTTTCCTACTAAGTACCTCCAACAGCCTACTCGTAAAAATATTATAACACATGTCTCGTTTCCGCTTATATTCAGTTATCGTATAAAATAAAATAATCCCGTGTTTACTTTGCTAAGTTGAATTTATACAGACTTGACATAATAAACACTAATTGAGTAATATAAAGGTGATATTTGATTTACTTGGCTTAGTCAGCAAACATTCAGATAGGTTACTTTAAAAAAAAAAACTAGTTGGAATGTTATTAATGTTTGGACTTTGATTTTAACTGTTGTTTAATGCAAGGTTCTAACATATAACTTAGTCATATACCTATGTCAAAGAAGACAGTCGACATAGGAGCATATGCATTTGTAGATGGTCAGAGTGACACAGACTATGAATATACTAGTGATTCCCTCGATTCGATAATTAATTCAGTCACTCATTTTTAGCTATTTTCATATATGCATCTGACCTACATTATAATCTTAACTCAACAGTTCTTGTCTGACTTAATTAAACTTCATTTAAACCCAGAAATTCATACGAATCTACGTTATAATGCCTCTATTTCCAACAAGTTTTTTCCTGAATGAATTCACTCTACAAGTCGGTTCTTTTACAACCTATCATTTTAATCCATGTATTTCTTTCCTATTTTATAGAATGAAACAAGTTGCTTCCTTCTTCCTTTTTCATATTTACTGAACAAATCGCTAACTAAAGTGAGTTAATGGCTTAATGAACAATGTCTCATTAGTGACAGAGATACTGACGGATCAACAATAGGATACGAATATATTCAATTAACGAATCCTAAATAGGACGACATGAGTTTTCTAGGATTATACTGTTAGGTAATTTCTAAGAGCAACATATACTTATATCTACCGACTACATATATATATGGTAACAACTCTTTAATAAATCTACATCCAAAAGACTGATCAACATTCACATAAATCATGACAACTAATAATCACCATCCTTATACCTGAACTGATTACCTACATATGTATTGATGAGTACGAAAACTTGATTAGATTCAATCTACTATTATTATTATTATTACTACTACTACCGTGAAGTGCTACATGAATTACTTACGGTAAGACCAATACAGAAAATAATTATACAATTTTAGTAAATATTTGTATTTATTATTAGTAGCTAAGATTATCTTCTTTTTTTTTGAAAAAAAAGAGAAAAACAAAACCACCTATTCTTGTTTCTTATTTTAGGCTTGAAAAGAAATGGAGTAAAGATGTAAATCTTCAGAGAGAAACAGAGAAGAAAAAATTGGAAGGTAAGATTAGGTTGGGTATATTTATTAATTCATATTCTTGGTAATAATAAATAAATGAACTTGGTTTGTTGTTGATGTCATGTGTAGGACTAGTTAGACAAATGGGTGAAATATGGAAGAAAATTGTTTTAATTGACTAGATAATTCAGCACAGAAATATCCTCATAATAATAATAATAGACATGACAAGAATATAATTAATAGGATAAGCGCTTTTAGTAAATAGTTTTAGAAGCATTTACGGTGAACAATACCAGGACCAGATTCATCATATTCTTGTTTGGAAATCCACATCTGTTGGAACGTAGACAATGAGGCCAAAATAGAACCACCAATCCAAACGGAATATTTTCGCTCAGGTGGAGCAACTATCTTGATCTTCATTGTGCTCGGCGCCAATGCAGTGATCTCTTTCTGCATACGATCAGCAATACCTGGGAACATTGTCGTACCACCTGACAACACAGTGTTCGCGTACAGATCTTTACGGATGTCCACATCACATTTCATTATTGAGTTGAATGTGGTCTCATGAACACCGGCAGATTCCATACCCAAGAAACTTGGTTGGAACAACGCTTCAGGACAACGGAATCGTTCGTTACCGATCGTGATCACCTGACCATCAGGCAGTTCGTAACTCTTCTCCAGAGATGAGCTGGACGCGGCAGTGGCCATTTCCTGTTCAAAGTCAAGAGCCACATAACACAGTTTCTCCTTGATGTCACGCACGATTTCTCGCTCAGCTGTGGTCGTGAAGCTGTAACCACGTTCCGTCAAAATCTTCATCAAGTAGTCAGTCAAGTCACGACCAGCCAGATCCAGACGCAGGATAGCATGTGGTAGGGCATAACCTTCGTAGATCGGAACAGTGTGTGTCACACCATCACCAGAGTCCAACACAATACCAGTTGTACGACCCGATGCGTACAGTGACAGTACAGCTTGGATGCCCACGTACATGGCTGGTGTGTTGAATGTCTCAAACATGATTTGGGTCATCTTCTCACGATTGGCTTTCGGATTCAATGGAGCCTCGGTCAACAGGACCGGGTGTTCTTCTGGAGCCACACGCAATTCATTGTAGAATGTGTGATGCCAGATCTTCTCCATGTCATCCCAGTTCGTCACAATACCGTGTTCGATTGGGTATTTCAGTGTGAGAATACCACGTTTCGATTGTGCTTCGTCACCGACGTAGCTGTCTTTTTGACCCATACCGACCATCACACCCTGAGATATAGGCACACACACACAGAGGGAGAGAGAGAAACAGAGAGATAAATAAGCATTTAAACCAAGCTTCAAATGATATTTCATTGTCGAATACAGTTAGCATATACCAACAACAACAACAACAACAACAATGTATGATTAGAGTGATTGTGATAAGTGTTTCACAGTGAAGTAACACGGATGGATATCTCGATATCTTATCACTGTGTTGTAGGTATCACAACTATTCTAACCGAGACATTGTTAAGTGCAATCCCTTCAACTTAAAATGATAATATGACTATAATATGATAATAGATTAATACAGTAAAAATGAGAAATTGATTTGTTGAATGAATGTTATGACTATGCTTACTTGATGTCGAGGTCGTCCAACGATGGAGGGGAACACTGCTCTTGGTGCGTCATCACCAGCGAATCCAGCTTTGCACATCCCTGATCCATTGTCAACAACAAGGGCTTGAACTTCTTCGTCGGCCATGTTAACTTAGTTTGTTGGATTTGATAAAGGGCAATTAACTTGAGTGTGATAAACTTAGGAATTCGGTGGATTAACCCTAGATAATCTCTTATTTATATATGTCATCATGTTTGCACAATTGATGTCCATATATGGCTTTAATTTTTAGTATATGGGAAGATAGTTTTTACTTCAAACAACCAATAGAATCGTAGATTAAAGAGATTATTATCTTCCTCTCTATCCTTCGTCATTAAAGTGTAATGTTTAGTGACTATATTTGTAGATGGCATTAAAAACACATTTATTGATTTATCCTAGTTGTGCACAATAAAGAGATGCAAACTTGAATGAAAGGTTATTATCTGTGTTAACCTCACTTCATTAATTCAATCAATAAAACATTCTTAAAATTAGAATTTTTCTGGACACAAACTGAATGATAGGCAATAAACCTTTTTATAAGGTACATATCAATTTCTTTCTAAAATATAGGCTTATGTTCTTTTTTGTTTACATTCTTGTATTTGGCTCATTTAATTCCGTTATTCACCAAGTCGATAATTATATACGAGGATCAGTGGCATGTATATTTTAATAGAAATCAGTAAACGATCTAATTGGAGTCAGATAAAGGGCCATTACAATGCGTTGATAGAACAACAAGTCGACAATTTGAAGGTGATTTCAATTTAAGTGTATTAAAATAGTTTTAAAACGAATGCTGGAAACCAGGAAACAGATTGCCTTACCATTTATGAGAAATATTTCATTAAAGGGATTTTGATGCCCTTTAGAATTAATGTTACTCATAAACTAACACAAACATTTCATTCTACTCAATACAGATCAAGAAATGCAAGAACAGAATAAGACAAATTCAATGTTATCTACAAAATAAATCGTACCAAATGAAATAAATACTACTTTGGATAACGTGGATGACCATTTCATCTAAGTATAAGTAAAAATGGTTTAACAGTGACACTAAATGATATGCTACCAATGTTACCAATATACGGAGATAACCGTGGACGTGAATTTGACTGGACTAATGTCTAAATTTCAGATCGGGAGAACTATAGAAAGAGTAGAGAATCTCTAGATGTGTGAGAATCAGATCAATTATCAATCAATAGGCAGATCAGCATATACTCAGTCTATGGACTCACACAGAAGATGTCAATTGGTCATAAGGCTGGAGTTTAATGGGAAAAGACAGTAAAAAAGAATCCAAGAACAAATAAAAACAATAAAATATGCATAGACAGGTGGTGACCAGCAAAAGCATTAAATAAACTGATATAGCATTCGTGAAATAACTGAAAAGCTCATTTCTACATGGAGTAGGAGCTTAAGATGTTATTCATGAAAGTTTCCCAGTTAAACTATATAACTTAGGGAACACAATATTACTAAATATTTAAGAATCATTTTGTAATGACCTTATAGATTACCAGTTCGGTGTAGGGTTCTGGAGATTGTTAAATTTCATCGAAATAACGAACCGTTCAAGGTTAGACTTAGAAGCTCTAGATGACCGTCTATTCCCGGTATTGGACTAATTAGCGGCGCAAATCGACAACTCTCCACGCGATAATTAAACCCAGGATCTTTGGCTCGGTGGTGAAGAGATAGAGTATTCGTGTACGATGATGATTTTCATCAATGAAGTGACGAATGAGGAACACAGAAACAATGTTTCATTCAGGTTCTAGAACCACCTTAATCAATAAGCTTCAAACAGTGAGCATTTATAATTTGATAAGGTGTCGAAGCAAGGAACTTCAGTTGCATTACAGTTATCAAGATACTTTCTAGTTAAGAAGTTAGGAAGGATCAACTGGGTTTTTTTAAAGTTTCAGTCATTTTATGACACAAAACTATCCACTATCCATTTTTAGTGAATATTTAGTCACATTATACGAATAATCTTTAAAATCACCTTAGTAATTAATAGTTCTGTGTTCATTAGTAGCATTGGATGAAAGTGATTTCCTAGAGAAGCCGTATCTGATAGAATTACCTTAATAAAAATAAAATTAATTATAGGACTGTGACTCGATGGTTTTAACATTATTTTGTTAACTACGATGCTTAAAAGAGTAGCTTGGCTGGGACAAATGGTGTGTACTGATGAAAATTCTCAAACTAGAAGGAAACAGTTAGTCAATGCTCTTCCTAGAAATTAAAATAGACTATTGAATAAATGTTCGCTACGATTTCTTCGATTAGTTTTGCTAACAACTGGCAATAATAAACAGTGAGAAATCAAACAAACTTATTTACCTGACTTTTGCCTGAAACATGAAGACAGTCTGGAGCTTGTAAAGGAATTACTATACCTAATGTGATCTCGTTATATCGACTTATGCAGAGAATAATTTCTTCGCACTTTAAAATATTCGATAAATTTTACACTACTTATGAGTAGTTTAAGAGCACTAATAAATATATTGATGAATGTTCGGAATTAGTCTAATCTATGCAAAACTTTCAAAACTGACATTCTCTCTTCGGACATACAGCGAGTGATACTTTGTTACAGTTCACATGTAGGAGTGTAGATACTCTGGAAAGCGAGTGCGTTATCCTTGATCTTACAACAGTGTCTATTACAGATGTCATTTCGAGATTCTAGTAAGAAGTTGTAACTGATAGTGACCAACCATGTTATAAGTAAGACAGTCGTCACTAATGGTATTGGATTATAGTGACGATATATCACGAATTAACTAAATTACAAATATATGGGTAATTGTATGAAAACTTTCGTCTAAATTTGGTCGAATAGTTTCACAGTATTTTGGCAACTATATTCTAGTTCATGAAATTTCTGGAGGAATCGAATATACTAGGTTCGTTCCCTAGAGCTTTTGCACTTGTAATCGGTTTCGTAGTGTGGTTAAACAAACGTCTGATGCTTGCTAGTTCTAAAACCTAATCAATTAGTTCAGCTTGAATTACACTCGTAATGTTGAAGACTCTTGAAAATTTTGAATTTCATTTACACTACTTATAAGTAACCATATTATCCAAGACGAAAATGTGTTCTACATTATTTATGAACTGCAACAGCAACTTGCTAATCGTATTAATAAAATATGTCTGTATTTTCAAACAGCACCAGTATAATTCCTACAGTTTACGTACAAACTTGGGCTTAAATCCTTCTAAGCGGAGTAAAAGATAGTGGACAGTGAAATACTGATGATTCTTGAGAATATTGTAGGATTACTCCATATAAAAATCAATATTATTGATGTGAACGTGTCGCATCAGGGTATATTAAGAAATGTTCCCTGATTGTCCTACAAGTCCTTAAAAGTATTAGGTAACCACACATAGTCGGCACTGGGTATGGGCGAAAAATTGGATATCCGATTTAATATTCGATAATTTGGTATTAATGTTTATCGTGAGTCTTGTATTCAATTCCACATGTTCAACAGTAGTTATTAGTAAAGATTGGAAAGTAAATACGATATCGTTGTTCATGATTTTCATGTTTTTAAGCAACCAATTCATGATGAATGTTATCACTGAACATTTAAATCAATATTTTGGAAATCTACTAAAATATTTCCAACTACGTCACAAGACAAACCTTCACATGGAATCCTTAAGACCAAAAGAGAAAAGGAAGATGAAAGAACACATTACGTCGAGAAATGAAGACAGACATAAGAAGAATGAATAACAATTGGATAGAACTAGAAAGTAAGGTTCAGGACAGAGTGAGTTAGAGAATGGTGGTCGGAGGCCTATGCTCTATTGGGAGTAACATGCGTAAGTAAGTAAGTAAGTAAGTACTAAGATATTTATTTGAAATGATATTTATCATTAGAAAGAATATAGACATCACGTTTTAAATTATTCTCTTAAGTTAAACTGTAAAGTAGATAATCATTCATCTGCTTTAAATGTGCTGTTGTTGTTGTTGCTGTTGTTTTACTTTTCTTTTCAAAAGCACTTAATGAAGTTATATAAAAGACAAATATTTACATAACATTACAATAAATGAGTTCAGTGTTAGCTCTTTGTAATTCTAGTTTTGAATATGACAGTGTCCATATAAATTTTTCCATAAACTAATAAGCATTTAATTGATTGTTTTAGATAAGTGTAATTATTGAATCTAAATTGATGAATATTCTCTATTAAGAAAAAGATAATAAGTTTCTTTTTTTTTAAAAAAAAAGAGCAAACTCATGATGAATCACAAAAATTGGAAAAGTTGATATATACATATGAATGACATAGTAAATAGACAGTAAAATACTATTCAACAGTTAGATATTTACAACTTAGCAGATAAATACTGTATTAAACCGCGTTATTACTTAGTTACTTACTTACTTGCTCATGTTACTCCCAACGGAGCATAGACCTCCGACCACCATTCTCCAACTCACTTTGTCCTGAACCTTACTTTCTAGTTCTATCCAATTGTTATTTATTCTTCTTATGTCTGTCTCCATTTCTCGACGTAATGTGTTCTTTCATCTTCCTCTTCTCTTTTGGTCTTGAGGATTGCAAGTGAGGGTTTATCTTGTGACACAGTTGGGTGTTTTCCTCAATAAACCGTGTTATAGCGACCTATTCTTTTTTAACTAAATCATATTTAAATAATTAACAACTAAACTTAACAAACTCTTATTTGATAAATACATTCATAAAGAAGGTTTATTAGATATGAAAAAAAATATAACCAATAGTATATAAAAAAAACTTCATTTGTATGGGTTTCTTATATGACGCCAGTAATATGATCTTAATATGAGAAGACATACAAGATTCTTAAATCGTACTCACTTTCCAAGTACTATGTACTATCAAAATATGAACTATTTCTAATAACATCACCGGAAACTGTTATCGTTGTTTATTCATTGATTCGCCCCATATATATTAAGCCATTGAATATATTAGGAAAATTTGTGAATCTCTACTTGTATAGACGTAGCAAATGAATTCAACCTAAGTAGGATAAGATTTATGAAGTCAATCTAACACAATTTTAATACTGTCAGGTTAGTTCAGTTATCGAGAAGTTCTACTATGTTGTACTTTTACAACCTTGCATTTCCAACATATGAAAGTTCGGAGAATTCCGCTGATCAGTTCAGATAAACTCTCGATTTTTGTGACAACATCGATCAATTAATTTTTACATCTGACAAAGTGTATGAAGTGATGGTAGAGATGGTAATCCAAGAAGTATTATCCTCCATAAATGGTCATTTCAGTGGCTTTATTATATTTATGCCTATCATCCCGGAACCTTTATTTGTAGATTCTGGAATTGAATAAAGAAAAACAGAGAAGTGGTTAGTTCACCATATAGCGCCTCATAATCAATGATCATTGAATCGGATTTGCATCAATTTGATCATCATAACTCTAGATAAACACCCTGTAGTGCAATTTATTGGCTGGAGATGTTATCAAACATAAAGCAGAATAAAAGTCAATGGTGATCTTGTTATGTTTATCTATTTCAAATTGTATAACGAGTGGAATATACCTCTTAATTGAATTAAATGTATCTTATTCATGTTCTTATAAGTTAGATCAATTGATATTCACTGTTTTTGTCTTTCTGCTTATTCATTACATCAATATTTTTTTCTTGTGACGAAATTATCATTGTCATATTGAACCATTCGAATTTTCTATTGATCATAATACATAATTTGATTGTACATATGCTTCATCAGGATACTTTGAGAACAAGAATTATTCAACTAGATTTCAAATCAATCACGTATTCTATGAAACAGTTACATAAACGGACATTCAATAACTTAAATAGAAATCAAGCTGTCACACTAGGTTAATTAAATAACACCAATTTTGAATCTTATAAATGGTATTTCTAGCTTTCGTTTAATCAATGCAATGCTTTGATAGGTTGGATTCTAGTTCATTTTTGTATACACCAATCCTGTATTAATGTTTTTGCCTTTGTACTAAAAAGGTTCTGAATAAAAAAACAATAAGTGATATTCAGTCATTACACTAATGAGACATATCACCAGTGTGAATGGACACTGGTGCGTTATGTTGGAAATTGACTGGTTTCAGAAATGTAAACCACTGGTCTAAAACAAATTATGCTTTTTGTGAGACCTGCAGGTTTTAAATTCATTGCATAATGAATTTCTGAGCGATTGCTGATGAGATTTAAACTAAAACAAAAACGTTCCAGTTTCCCACGACAACTAATAATGGTTTTCCAATTGCATTGTCAAGTTATGATCAATTCATGAAGTCACCGATCGTCTATCTAAGTTATGCTGGTAAATGCTTACTAAGTAGCAAGGGTCGAAGCGATTATTGTAACTAGTGATTAGAGATATGGAATGAAATGGCTCATATTCAGTCACAATGGCACATATGCACTTAATTTTTGTCTTGCGTTTTGAGTTTTAGAATTATCTTGTACTTTTAATCCCGTGAATTCATTGTCTTGTTAAATCACAGTCTTTTCCACTATCGCTGATACTGTTAATACTTTGGGACTTGTCTCGCTATGTTGATATGCTATGACAGCTTGAATCAATGTACATGTACCAGGTTCAACATTGTTTATGACTAACTGACAAAAGGATAAACGTAAAAAAACATATGCAGTGCATGCTAACACCAAGATTGAGACAAATAAATACGGAGGAAGGGGAAACGTTGTTTTAATAGGCTATATCAGTACTAGCCAATAAAATGACCAAGTAATGCAAAACCCCTATAACACTTGACAATGACGGTTAATTTCCATTTTTTTAAAACAAAAGTGAAACAAGCACACCGAATACCATTAAAACAACTTGTTCACACTTATTATACAAACGCGCCCCCGTGTTATTAAACGACCTTTTACACCTTCCTCATCCTCAAAGCTGTCGCCCGCTAATTAAGAGAAATCGTATAGTCTGTTATGATTGATCGATAATAAAAGTCAGTAACATTTGTAGTGATTAATTTTTCAATAATGTTATATCTAAAACTTGGATTCTTGATATACCGCGCACAACTTTAGCACTCGAACGCTTGAACCCTTCAAGCCGCATGTTAGAAGACAGAAGACGAGTGGGAAGAATACTTATTCTAATTAGTGTCAAATATAGTACAAAACATTCAGGTATTTATAATTTTCAGTAAAAACGAAATCATCATTACAGTCATCCAATCCACATGCAGTGGTTTTTAGCACTTGTCCAATCGGGAAGCTATACGTTGAGATTCCGCAATGTTCCTCCAAACGAATATTTTATGGAATGTCTTCGGCTGTTTCAGAGCTTCCTTCAGTTAACCCGGAGCCGTCTCCACAAATAACAATGAGTTTTAGTAATCAAGCTATCACTAGTTTAGATTCAAGCTATTGAACGTGATTACAACCCGATATAGTTTGTTTTTGAGCTTGCTATGTCTTTACATAATTAGGAGAAACAAAAATATCCACCTAGATATATTGAGGATATATTTTGATAACACTTAAACCAATCAATAAACATTTTAGGATTTATGGTTGTACTCACAAAACTTATCGTCAGGAGTAAAGAAATAAAACTTGAATCAATTTAATCTAAGACAAACACATTGACTGATAAATACAGATCGTAAATTAATCGAAAAAAGAACAAATAGTTATTATTAATTACTATAATATATATATATATATGTATATTTATATATTATAACTGTCATTATCACTCAGAGTTCAAATCCGAAAAAGAGACAACAATAACAACAAAAACTCAGAAATAACATTGTTATTAAGTAGTAATGATAATTAGTAAATAATAAACAAAATTATTGTGAATGTGTCATTCAAACTTCTTCTTTCACAATGTATTCATTTCATATCAATGAACAGTTTACATTTCTTCTAATCATATTCACAAAACATCTGAAGAGTCAACACTACCACCAACACCAAAAAAATACCATAAAAAGGCATAGAAAAAAGGAAACAAAAAACAAATTTAAAAATAAAATATACACAGCATAAGCTGGGGGGGTGTGGATGGGATGAATGAATAAACTGGGGTAATACATTATTATATATAAATAGAGATAAAAAGAAACCCTAAATCTTTTACATAAAATACAAGCAAAAGAGGCTATTTATGTCAGATACACACATGTATAGACTCCTGGCACGAAATACTGTCTATGAGGTATATAGATTTTCTTTTTTTAAAAAGGTGTGTAAATAATTAAATAATCAATATAGAACTAGGAAAAAGACACAGGGAAACGTTATTGTTTTTATTTTATTTTTTTTTAGAAAAACAAAAAAAAAACAGAATATTAAACGAACCGGTTGTATTTATCAAAATACATACAACGGATTGACGGTTAAATGGTAAGATAAATAAAATACGAGGAAGATGAGGTGAGAATAAGTTAAAACAACTAAACCGAATACCTGAGAAATATACATATATCGCAGCATAAAAGTGAAGTAATCCACCACTAATTCTCTAATATAAACAGATATAATATATTTTATAACTAAGACATTTAGTATAGAAAAATAGGGACAGATTTCAATGTAACATTAACGCAGCGACAATTTACAACATTTTTACTGAAGAATCACTGTCAAAACCACCGGTATTTTTATACCGCCTCTTCCCTCTTCGCAAATCTTTACATTATTTAGTACACATACATCTCAGTCATATAATTGGTATATGGATAGCAAGAAAAATAAATATTGTAAAGAATAAGAGGTAGGCAAGTAAGTAAGTGGAAACCACTACATTGTTACATATATATGAATTAATTAAAAGTGTGGAGGGAGAAAAAGTAATGGCGTAATAATGCCCCACCCATCAAAGTAAAGGCATGGAAAACAATATACACAGTACATACAATAAGAAAAACAACTACCAAACCCCTTCCCCCTTGATCCGTCAAATATTGTTAAATACCTAAGAGAGTAATATAATTAATAAAAAGAAATTCAAACGATGAAGAAATAATAAATAATTATAAAAATTTTCCCAATTGAAAGTTTCATCATTACCTGAGAATGATCATAGCAAGGTATAACTATTGAAATATATAATAGATAAAAATTGAATCTACACATTACAATACTTGAATAAATTATAAGCTAATTTGCTGCTGCCCCCTTCCCATCTAAGAAAAAAGCGTAAAAATCGCATATAAAAGAAAAACAGGTTAAACCACAGCCAAAATACACAAAAGATGTTTATTTTTCCTGTTTCAACGCTTAAAAACTTTTGTTTTTTTGAAGATATAAAGTTATACAAGGAAGCTTTAAAACTGAAGGAATATATATATATATAGGCATGCATAAACAAAAACAGTATTCACTCAACTCAATTATGTCACGCAGGAAAAAAAACAATGGAATAGTTTTATTTCTTAAAAATTTGTTTACTTTTTGCAGGAGAAGTTAAGAGATAATCATACACAAAGGTAGGGTGAGATGATGACATTTAAGCAGGGAAGAGAAAAAACTCAAAACAGAGAGGAAGAAAGAAAACACAGGTAATAACAAACAGGAACTAAACTCTTTAAAATAATAATAATAATAATAATAATAATAATAATAATAAAAAAGACCAATTAAGTATTCACTTGAAATATATATGAATATGTGTATGTGCAAAAATTAAAATGAACAAAACAATGATGAATTCATAAACAAGGCTAATTCAGTCGCTTTCACATGTTTTATGCTTTTGTACATAATTCATAGGAAGAAAGTTTTCCGTGAATAAAAGCTGTAAAGGTAGATAGATAGATTGGCTAATCAGTTAAAATTAGGTGATTTGATTATTTCATTATATATAAATAGATTTATTCTATGAAAATCCCAGATGAATACTATTACTACTACTGGTAGTTGTAGACGACGTCGTCATCGTCGTCGTAGTAGTAGTACTGATAAAATTTGAAGAGTCTACTTTTTTCACGGATAAATATGAAAATATAGATTCTAAATTATTTAACAGATGATTTAACTCATTAGAACATGTTAACTTTTCAATATGTGCAGCAACTGATTGAAAATTGGATAATTTCAGTAATAAACGTCCCATTCGTCCATGTGGAGCATTTGGCCAAACTTGATTACAATAATATTCTAGGCCAGCGTAAACTTGATCACGTAACAATTCAATTGATGAACGAATATTATTAAGACAAGTCAAAGAATCTGCATACATGTGTAAATGAATAAAACAAAGAGAAACAAAAGTGAGAGTATAATGTTTAAATGTTATGAATGATAAAAAGTATATTTATTTCTAAAAAAATGACATAGTAGTAATTTTGATGTTATATGAAGCATGTTTATGTAATGAGGTATAGTCTGAACAAGAGTATTACTTATGTAGATTTGGAGTGATGGCTTAATGGTTAGTGTTCAACTTAAGAATGAAAGCATCTAGTGCTTGAAGGTAGTCAATAGTGACCTAACTTAGATCGATCCATAATTTCAATAAAAACTTAACAATCTCCACAACCGCACATCGAAAGTTATTTTAGTCACAGAGAGACAATATAGAAGCAAAATGTAATTTTTATATCAGTAGAAAGGAGTTCATCTTTCCAATCATTGACTGTCAACAAGTGAATAGTATGAGTTTACCTAGTATTACCTATGCAGTAATCTCTTATGAATATGCCAACAATATTTCGTCGATATATAAATGCATAGGTAGTCTGATTAAAATTTTGGACCATCTACCTTAAAAATAAGCAAATCCTTATGAATTCAATTTCTTATATCTATACTTAATCAGATCAATCAATACGAAAGTTCATTAATGAGGAGTTCGCTTTACAACCATAAACAACGTGGAATCTGGTACATCTGTACATTGGTCCTTTGCCATAACCTGTAACTACAGCGAGATGAAATTGTTATTGGAAATCAAAGAGTAGAAGATGTAGTAACAGTATTAATGTTAATAAAAAAGACTAGGCATCGAAGACACAATTCGGGAAAATTTAAATTAGTGAATAAACCTGAGCCATTGCAAACGATTGTGATCCGATGTCTCCAATAATTGGTTGCGATAACAACTTAACCAGGTAGTCTGGTATCCAACTACATGCATCACTCCAATGGTTTGTGTTTTTATAGACTGATGCTGTTTTGGTTTGGCCGCCTCTAGATATTTTCCAAACTACTCCAACACCAGTCATCGTCGAGTATCAAGGTAGTCCGTAGCTAGGAATACGCAATGCATATATATATATATATATATATATATATATATATATATACCCAGTGTCTGTTAGCCGGATATCATCAGCAACAGCCTACTGTGTGAGAGAACAAACCAACTTCCAGCACTTGGTAATCATGATTAAATACCGCATGCTGAAAATCCTATATTGCGCTAAACATATGATATGAATAAAGCAATTATCAGTACCATATAAATTTTACTGTTAATTCGGATTCAATTTTTTATGCTTTACGTTGAACAAGCAAGTTACATTTTGTTTGACGAACCACACCCCCTCCGCTACCAGAATACTCTGAACAAAATAAACAGTCCTCTTCCCTCAAAAATTACAGAATGGGAGCGAAATACGATGAAAAAGCTTACCTGGATTCAATAGTAAAATCAATTTTAAACAACCCAGTTCCACTGGATCCAGGTTTAACATTCTGAGCTTTATAGCTAAATTATAAATTAGCTTGTAAACATTTGTATTACGTTTTCGAATCATATCATCTACACTATCGTCATTAATGTTAGTTGGTTTTGAAGAAATTGACTCGTTATTATTATTATCCATTGGTTTTGTTAAATTATTTAATAAATGAAATTCTGGGAAATTCGAATAATAATAATCCATTTTCTCATCCAATGGAACAGATTTGTTTATTTTTTTCACTTGTACTGTACAGTCTTTAGATATATCTGATACTGTTGATGAAACTGAATTTTCAAGGGGATCGTTAGTGATATTGGGAATATCAGTAGTATAAATAGTGGGAGGAACAGCAGCGGTAGAAGCAGTAGTAATAGTGGTAGTAGTATCGGGAAGTTTAGATGTAGAGTTTGATGTTGATAATGAACGAGGTTTATGATCGTTTGCTAACCAATAAACTAAATTCACTATGATCAATTGCATGCATGCTGGTGAAAAAGAAAGAGAAAAAACGATCGGACTACTATGAATATCAAAGAACATAGTAACTGAGAAAAACAGTGAAAGGTTTTATATCGTGAAGGCTTCTCATGATGTTTAACAGTCAGTTATAACCAACATAGGATTATCCACAAATCTAACACTTTGAAGATCAGAATGATGCTAATGACCAATATGCTTTCCAAAAATAAAAAGTTTAGGTAATAACATAAGTGGCAAAGTTGAATAACACCAAGATTGGAGAAAGGTGCATCGCTGAAGGCAATGGATGATAGTTACGCAATATCGTTAAGTGACTGAAGTGAGAAGGATAGACTATTGTGACAAAAGATAACGTGGCAGCTGCGATGTTTGATGATCCATAGTTCGTGAGATTTTGGGTGTGCACATACTGAAATGAAATGGATGTCTAGCTAAAGTTAGTCTATGACATAAACTGTTCTTAATACGATACTTCGATTGTAGGATAATAAGTTGAATTGAGTACAATGCCATAAGATATAGACTAAAATAAAGAAAGCACGATAAATGTACAGTGGAATTCCATCATAATTCAGTCATATAATGTTAATTTTATTTAAAAGGGTTCGTATTTTCCCGTTACTGATGTTAAAAACTGCAACTAACTAGTCGTTATTGGTATATGCGCAACTTATAACGAAATAGTAATATTAAGACAGTCCATTCAGGATGCACGGATGTCAGTAAAAACTGATCATCAAGTGAAGACGTTAACATCAATGACGGGTAAATACAAATCCTTATAAATATTTATTAACAAACATACACTAATGTATGAAGAGATTACAAACCGATATAAAAATGAGATCTGTTTTTTGACTTGACCGAAAATAAAACGGTTTATTATTTGTAAAAAGAACCCCGTAATTTCCTAAAGATCATTTTCTCAACAATTCCATCATTAATAACAAGTAAATAGCGTATACAACAAAATTATTTGGAATAAATTACAACACGTGGAACGCATGAATCGATGATAGAGAGAGATATAGATTTGACCCATATAATTCAATGAATAAACATACATTTTGATATTACAATGCATTGATGATACACACAAATAATAAACTCATTGATTTAAAATTATAGTTGATGTGAATTGATTTTTAGGTCAACAATAATTGAATCAATCATGAATACCATGAATTTGAACTTGACTGTAAACTATGATAGATGGATGTAAAGATTTGAAACTATAGACAGATAGCTAGTTAGCTGAAAGGGCCTCTTTTTAAATTCATCGTTATTGTCAACGCTTAGTCTTTTCAACTTAGCCCTGCTATTATAGTATTTCGATTTCTTTGCCATTCACTTGGTTAATTTCATCACGTTGTGCTAATTATGTATGGGAACTTGGACCAATATACACAGTTGTCTCAGGCTTTACGTTAATTATAATTGAGTGGTTAATTGTAATTCTGATAGCCGTTATTAAAATCATGTTAAATAAACAAACATCAATCGGATAACGAGTTAATCAATTTATTATAACTTATCAAGCAAACTTGAACATATATACTTATCGTTTTGAAGGCAAGCATTCAATCACCGAAAAAGAAATAGTGTTTGAAAATCGAGTAATTCAACCCATTAAGAAAAAACAAACAAACATTGTTCTTCTTACTAGCTGTGAATTTCTGATGTAAATTTTTGTGAACTATCAGGAATTACAATGATGAATTAACTTTTCTACGACACTAACGGAGGTAATGCTTTCTCCTCTCATCTCATAAATGGAACTCAGCAGGCCCCCTGAATGCCCTGGTACGGCCGAGAGTGGGGAGAGTCCGCTCTCCCTCTCGAAATACTCTCACACGGCCACGCGTATACAGCCTCTGCCAGGGAAGTCCTACTCATTGCCTTCTCGTGGCGGGGGTGTTGTTTACGAAAATGAGAGGACGAAAAGCGAATGTCCGGCGCTTTAACCGGATTCCAAACCAATGGTGCACATGGGCTCCAGTATCCTGCGGGAACGAATGGCGTATGAACCAATCGTTGGTCACCGGCTACCATGGGACTGCATCTCCTTACGATGCTCCACTGCCTTGTGGGTTAGACCTTTAGGTCAAAGGCTCGGGGAGTGGCCCCCTAAGATAACCACCTGCTTCGGTTTGGGCACCCGGGCAGTATCACAGCCCACACACAAATGATGAACTCTTTATGTCTATGGAAATTACTTTTGTCGCTTTGAAAAACAAACAATTGATTCAGATTATTATCATTACAATTATTGTCATTATTAATACTAATATTATTATTACTACTATTATTGTCATTATTGTTATTATTATCATTATTATTATTATTTTCCACATTATTCACCCTCTTTTATACTTATACAGCGGCTCGTCTTTGGTGGAATTCCGACTGTATCTAAACGTTCTCGAGTCACTGTCCGGTTGAAAATTGTATGTTACCACCGAATACGAGGACTGAAGCAGATTTTCTGAAACCACGTGCACCATTCAAACTGGCTGCCTTCAACGTTCGCACATTTATGCAGGTCGGACAACAGATAGGGCTGGCTATGTCTTTGGAAAGTCTTAATATCGACGTGTGTTGTCTATCCGAGACCCGTATTCAAGACTCTGGCGAAGTACTACAAATTCGATCTCCATCTGTCGCTTCGAAAAGCTTGTTTTACGTGCGCTTATCCGGGGACCCTGTGGCATCTTCGTCTGGTCTTGCTGGCGTTGGTGTCGCACTAAGCGCTAGAGCTGAGGCAGCACTAGTCGATTGGATCCCCATTAACAGTCGGTTATGTGCTGTTAGATTAGAAAGTTCCATCAAAGTGAGAAGAAATCGGCGTGAGAAACGATGTCTTTTCGTCATCTCCGCCTATGCCCCGACAGATTGCAGCCCGGATGCAATCAAGGATGAGTTTTACCACCAGTTATCAGTTCTTCTCCAGAAAGTGCGTTCGACAGATATTGTAGTACTAGCCGGAGACTTGAATGCTCAGGTCGGGCGTCTAGGCACAGAAGAGAGTCGTTTAGGTGGCCGATGGGGACTCGTTGGTCGCAGGTCAGATAACGGGGACCGTCTACTGCAACTTTGCACAGACCACAACCTGTTTCTGGCTAGCACTAACTTTCGGCACAGTCATCGCCGATGTGCCACCTGGCGTCCTCCCTCTGCATCTCAAGCCTGGACTCAGATTGATCACATCGCGATCAGCTACCGCTGGCGTGGTTGTGTACAAGACTGCCGCTCCTTTTGGAGTACCTATCTGGACTCTGACCATGCCTTGGTCTGCGCCAATCTTGCCTTACTTTTCAGTGGACAACGAAGTGAACGCCATCAACGGATTGATGTTAGCAAGCTGGTTGCAACTTCTGTTGCAAGTAAGTATCGAACCGAGCTAGCCTCTAGGCTAGCTACCACTCCACCGAAAAGTATAGATGAGCATTGGTTGCAATTGCATGACGCCATGAAAATGGCGGGAACAGTCAGTTGTGGGTTTGCGAAACGTCCCGCTTTTAAGCACTGGGTTTCTTCTGGTTCCTTACAACTCATTGAAGCCCGTCGGTCTACTCCGGGTGACCGTGAGTTTGACCATAAACGAAGGATGTTACGTAAGGAAATTGGGCAAAGCTTGCGTAAGGACCGAGAAGCCTGGTGGTCGATGCGTGCTAATGAGCTGGAAGCAGCAGCTGCATCTGGTAACTACCGGAAGCTCTTCCAACTCATCCGAGCCACTGGCAGCAAGAAGTCTGGTGTGAGTGAAACAATCTGCGAGGATGATGGGATGCCAATCACTAACATCCATCGACGTCTTGGACGATGGGCAGAATTTTTCGAAGGGCAGTTCAACTGGCCTGCTGCTCCGGCAACATCGGTCAGACTGTCCTGCCCTCCATGGCCGGTGACGACTGATCCACCAAATGAGGCGGAAGTCCGCAAGGAACTCCAACTCTATTGAAGAAGGGTGTGCCTGAGAAGTTTATTAACATCCTAAAAGCCCTGTATAAAAACACCTCAGGCAGAGTGAGGGCATACAACCACCTCTCTCCATTGTTCCATTCGAGCAGTGGGGTTAGGCAGGGTTGCCCAATCTCACCATTCCTCTTCAACTTTGCCATCGATGACATTCTGGAAACAGCTCTGATGAATGTAAGTAATGGTGGTGTGGATCTGTTGCCTGGAGAGAGACTTCTCGACCTTGAGTATGCGGACGATATTGTCTTACTGTGCGATAATGCCCAAGGCATGCAATCCGCACTTAATCAGTTGGCAATCAGTGTCCGTAGGTATGGTATGTGCTTTGCACCTTCGAAGTGCAAAGTACTTCTACAAGACTGGCAGGATTCTAATCCTGTACTCACCCTGGACGGTGAGCAGATAGACGTAGTTGAGAAGTTCGTGTATCTGGGTAGCTGCATAAGTGCTGGTGGGGGTGTGAGTGATGAGATCAATGCACGAATAGTGAAAGCCAGAGCGGCTTATGCCAATCTGGGCCACCTTTGGCGCCTTCGTGATGTTAGTCTGGCTGTAAAAGGCCGGATCTACAACGCGTCGGTGAGAGCAGTTCTGCTCTATGCTTGTGAAACCTGGCCTCTCCGAGTTGAGGACGTTAGACGACTCTCTGTTTTCGATCATCGTTGTCTCCGAAGGATTGCTGACATTCAGTGGCAACACCATGTCAGTAATGCAGAGGTTCGGCATCGTGTGTTCGGGCACAGAGATGATAACTCAATTGGTGTCACCATCTTGAAACACCGACTTCGGTGGCTTGGACATGTTCTCCGAATATCGTCCCAGAGAATTCCACGTCGTGCATTATTTGCCGACTCTGGGACTGGTTGGAAGAAGCGGAGAGGTGGTCAGTGCATGACATGGTGTCGTGGCATGAAAGAAAGCTGCAAAGGACTGGCTTGTGTTGGTCCTTCACGACTCCCTGGCTGGGGTCCGAGAGATGGTGCTACACAGTGGCTAGAGACGTTATCAGATATGGCTCAGAATAGAAGCCAGTGGCGATCCTGCTGTAACCTTCTTTTACTTTCTTCATAAAAAGTGGTTGTGTCTCCCTTACCTGAAAGATTTCTTCTGATTGTACCTCTTCGTCATTACTCTCTTTTTCTTTTGCGTTCCTTAGTTTTTTTTTTCTCTTTCTACTTCTCTTCGAATTCCCATTGTTTTGTGTGGCGCATATATATTGGCGCTCTCTTGTACCAATATTTATGTGTTCAAATAAATAAATAAATAAACTCAGCAGTGGCTAGCACATATGTATTCAAAATACATTCCTAACAAAGAGTTTGAGTATCGATTAATATGTACATTACTTATTTCAGGAACGATTGCAATAATAATAATGACCAATTAGGGTTTGTAGGCACTTGTTAAGTTGGAGATAATTTTCATCTGAATGAAATTTATTGGAGAATTCCTTAAGGTTAAAGGGCACAATTAAAGGCAACCACTTACAACGACGGCCCATGAACTGAAATATTTAGAACCTTCAATTTTCATGGTAGTAATGATACCATTCAGTTGGTGATAAGTTGAATTTCAGAACGGAATATATTTGGTTCGGTTTGGTATAGGATTTCATAGTTTATTTCACGGATCGATTATAGTTAAATAACTACTGAAAACCAATAAACACTGAACAGCTGTTTGGTCTCAGCATTGAACTCGGCAGTGAGCATTCATACTCTCAACGGGGATCGAACCCAGGGTCATCAGGTTTCGTGGAGAGCGCATAGATGTTAAGCCACTAAGTAGGCAGAAAATGGTCTATATTTTTAACTTTAATCATCAATACGCATTGTTGTGCGACTAAATTATTTGGGTGGATAACTTTCTCACACACGACACATGGTTGAGCCCCACTGATCACAGCTTTAAGTTAAAAATGTAAATCATTGAACGTCTATTCAGTAGTCTAAAGGTTAATTTCTCTCTGTAAGAACTGAAGGTCATAGGCTCTATCCGACGTTAGGGTCGTGGATGCATTGTTCAGATACAAGCTAAAACAAAACAATTGTCCAGTGATTCCTGGTGCTCAATGACAATTTAAGGTCAGTTTATGATGAAAACTGTGAAACTTAATAATCTATATGGGATTGCTAGTGAGTGATACTGTCTCAGAACTACGATGAAAAGATAATTGGTGTTAGTTCGAGTTTTAAATGGCTCTTTTAACTGATGTCAATTCAAGATGAGAAATATTTCTAAATAAAAATTAAACTAGATAGAAGTAGTTAAGATGAGTATCATTGATAATATCTAGCAACAATTATAGATCGCAGGGTAGGCCGCCTGCAAAGACTAGTTATATATATAATAAAGATGAAAATGTATGTAGACATAATCGTACCTGATTTAAGGAGGTCTAAGTGAACACCACAAGAGAGTTGACAGATATATGGAATTTTTGACGACCAGATAACTAAATCAAGCAGTGGTAAATGATTAGTTGTACACTGTAAATGAGAAGAGAGAGATAGAATTACTGATGAAGAAAATAGTTTGATAATCAAAAAATTTCAAATAATGAAAATAATACTTTAACTATGTACAATGTTGATAAAACAAATTAACATTCGAGATAAAATCAGTATATTGATGAGATTTTAATATTTTATGAATGTTATTCTTACAAAATTTGTGTTTTATAACACAAGAAAAATACAACCATAAACGAGTATAACAATGCTAAACAGACACAGACAAGGTAGCTACTCTTACACTTGTAAATGAGGTGTTGGTTTGTACACGAACGAGAGATTTGAAAGTGACTAGAAATTTCTATGTATAATTAGTTTATAAAATCTTTAACTGATACAAATTGTATGGAAAGTTGTAAGCTTTCATCAACTGACAACAAGTTGGATAGTAGAGGTCAAAGATGGTTAAAGAATATAGACTAAAATGTTTAAAAACAAATCAGTTTACATATATTAACTACTTTTAATATATTTTTTTGAAACAAGAATAATTGAATATTCAGTCAGTTACAACGTAGGACCAGGCACACATATGCATCGGCCCAAGTTCCTACACCTCATTACCACAGCAAGACGAACACCGGATTCACAGAAGCAGTTAGTTCAATGGTGTAATATATAAAGAAAAGATTTTATGTAAGGATATAGTACAGAAAGAAAAAAAATTAGTTGGTAGAAAGAAGGATATGAAATAATTTTAATCTCATAGTTTACGGGAAGACAAAGAGTATAAACATCTACGCCATTGTGACCGATTCTGAGCCATGTCACTCAGAGTCTCCAACCATTTCATTTGATAAATCATAACTAATCATAGGAGAAATAGACAGTTAGTCTATCAAGTCTACCAACTTCACGAGAGTTTGTATCAACTTCGGATACTCCAAGTAAACAATGAAGGTTTAGACAGTTGAACAAAGCAAAGTAACAAAATGTGTGATATTCTTCACCATAGCACAATTTCATCACACATATGTATGCTTGGTTGCTGAGTTTTCAAACATTTTAATGCGTCAAAGTGTGCGTCAAAAAGTGAACCAACATACCAAATAAGAAACAATTTATAATTGTTTTGATATGATCGCTAAGAATTAAGCTTAAAAATCATATCTTGACTGATTGGATAGAGGAGAGTGAGCAAAGTACGAGGTGATTCTCGTCCAATCGCTCATGATAATTTATTATGGTTACTTTGTGTTAGTAGTTTGTCATTCTTTCTTCAACGCTTTCCTTCCACATAGTTGTTTCGCATTTGATTTTAAATCATTCATGGCGTTGAGTCAATAGCGTGGTCTCATGAGTAGCCATCACTAAGTCACATGGAATGATTGGATATTTCCAGTTGGTCAGAATTTTCTTTCACAAAATTCTAATCCATAACACAAAGGTGACTGGGATAGGATGGGACAAAGTCAGGGCTCATATTTTATAACAAACAAAAAGCGTATGCTTTGCAAATTGAAGGATAAAAAGCAGGCAAAATATCAAGTTAGCTGAAAAAGAAACCAACAACTCAAAGAATATTCGGGACAAGAAAAGCCTAAAATACTAACCTTCTCAAAATTATTTTCTAACCACTTGAAATTTTCCATACTGTCTTGAAAACATTTAGCAATCTCTGCATGACATTGTTGTTTATTGAAAGCACTCAACCATTGTTTACGTCTATTTGAAATAGTCGATTCAGCCGTCCTGATAAATTCTAAGGCATCAGGTGGTGGTGGAATGGCTGCGGGTGTTGTTGTTGGGAGTTTCAATGTATAAATGTCTACCAGAGGTAATGTTACGTTGTTGCTATCTTTATTAACGATTAAAGACAACTCTTGAGGTGGATATGTTGCAGCGTCATTGACAGTGAGATTAAAATTATCATTTATTGGAAGTTGTTGAGATTCTTCGTTCGATGCTGAGTACAAATAATTTATACTACTATCTGAGCATTTCGAAAGTATGTGAGGACTAGATGATGATGATAATGTACAATTAGTTGTTTTTAACATTACTTCTTGGTTTTCAACTAAACATGAATGATTCAATGTATGACTTGTTTTTGTATCAGACATAATCATCGAGTTAACTGATAAGTCACAATTTTGCTCAGGTGGAGTTGGTGATCTTTGGACTTCAGACTGGAGCTGTTGTTGTTGGCGTTCTTCTTGAACAGCTAAAATTGCAGATAAAGAAAAAAACGAATAAGATAAAGCTGTTCAGGATAATTTGCTCTGGTATGATCGAAAGTGAAGAGAGTATACTTACGCTCTCGAAACATTCTCACACGACAAGAGTATTTTAGCCTTTGTCAAGAGAGTTCTACTTACTGTCTTTAAGTGGAGATGATGGTTTTATGAAAGAGATGGACCATGAAAATCGGATGTCCAGTGATCAAAATTCTTAGGTGGACATTCATAGTCTTCCTAGGAAAGTAGGGAAATGTTGATTTTAAAATACCTTCAGGTCTAAAGCATAGGGAGCGGTCCCTTAGCAACAGCATATGCTTCAGACTGATGTTCTAGAGTAGGATCCTTGAACATAGGCGTGAAAGAGGGAGATTAAGACTTCCTTATCTGGTACACTAGTGCTTAACAGATATGGATTTCTTAATTATTTAATTATAGTCAAATTTATTTTACTTCACTTTGTCGTCCTATTTCGCTTTATTTTGATGTTACTTATACGTTTTGTCACAAGAATATAAATCTGTAACTCACATAGCAGTTGGCCTAAGCTGTAAGTTCCCTATTGTTTATACAATATTAAGTCGCCGAGTGGACGATTTTATGAAATCTGATGAGACATTTGCCGCTAAAACTTGTCTCCTTCAACATTCCCACATTGATCTAGATCGGACAGCAAATAAGTTTGGTTTTGCAAAGTCTTAGCATAAAAGTGAGTTGTGTATTTGTGATTTATATTCAGGGCTCTAGCGAAGTCCTCAATCCCTCGATATGAAAAGTTTTTCCTTGTTCACTTGTTCGGGGGACTCTAGAATATTGGTGTCCATATTCGGTGAAGTCGGTGTCGTATTACGCGCCAGTGAGGTGGCACTAATCGATTGTATTCTCATTAGGAATCGTTTATCAGCTGTTCGATTAGGAGATTGCATGAAAATGAAAAGAAACTTGGGTGAGTGACAAGGTTTTTTGAAATCCTCGCCTACATATCGACGGATCGCAGCCTATATGGAATCAACGATGAGTCCTGTCGCTGACTAAGTCACTGCTTCGCTGATTAAAAACAATTTCTGCTCATTTATTCAGACTGTACGACCCTCTTAATTCGCTGTTCTTTGCAAGATTACCAACTCACTTATGTGTAGCATTTTTCGATGCCCAATTGTATCAAAAGTTCTGTTATCAATAAATAAAGATGTCAATATTCTTTTTTTTTCAAAAGAATCGTGAACCAATGTTAGACCACGAGTGAAAATCTGAAAACAATGGATGGCCGTTTCGTCAAAGTGTGGGACTTTTTAGCAGTTCTCATTCACGATATTACAGGCAGGAATCGAACACAAGATCTTCGGTGCGAACGCTCAAACTCTAGACTCATGACCCGGAATCTAACGTTGTTAGTGTCTGACTTTAACCAACCCATGGTATCACACGACCGTCTTTTATTGTTTTAGGTCGGTAACTGCCTCTCACCCGATACGGTTGTACTCTACTGGTCACGTTTTCTCACTAGAAAATCAAGAATTCCCTCTCATGTGGCGTCATGAATGAGCACTTCTGAGGAGTCCCATACTTGGGAAAGACGGGTTTTTGGTGCTTGCAGGTTTTTAATGGTAGTATGACACTGATCGGTTAATGGTTTCAATGAAGCTCCACAAACCTATATTGATACTCATTTTGTCAGTGAAATATATTTATGTTCAGTCCGAATTGTGTCTTGATTTGGGAACCAGTTGAGTGGAGCGAAGAGTCCGAGAACACTAGGTCGTAAATAAGGAAACTTAAAGACAACCAATTCTTTTCAGTGACTCCGCTCCGTTGATAAGGTGCGCTAAGCATCATGAACACCATGATGCCTTTAGGCTACTCTATGAGCTTCACATAATGAGCTTTAAATAGATAGTCAGAAAACAACAACTGAATCATAAATATCCAGACGTGGTGGTCGACCTTGCCCATCGTGATGACCCAATCAAGCTACATTGGCTGGAAAACTTGTTCAGTTAGATAATATAATTCCAGGCAGAGCAGTTGGATAACGACAAAACATTCGTTTTAAAACGATTTTTGGTGGCTTGAGATCACCAATCGATATCATGTCTAATACCGCCCAATCAGGTTATCGATAAATCCACCCATATGACTAGTACGACATATGATCTTCTAGATAACCGCTGACACGTGGATCAATAAACAACAACTAAACATATCAAAGTTAATTGGTTCTCCAGCTCCCAACACAGTGGCCAATCAGAAGAACCAGGTAAGAAAAAGCATTATCAAAACCTTATACCTTTTTTAATTTATTATGCTGACACTGATATTGTTCCTACCTCTGTTATCCCGAGATTCTTCTTGATAAAAGGAACTGATAAAAACAAGACTAATGTAAGGATAATTACAAGGTATGCATGTATGTATCATCATTACATTCAATTTCATATTGGACAGGGAATGAAAATTAGCATATAAATAAATAAATAAAATCTGGACTAATTTATAAGCTGACCTTCTCGTCGCATTCCCGCCCGTAAACATTTTTGATAACGACAATATTGGCAACGATTACGTAGTCGCTTATCAATCTGACATTCTTGATTATCTCGACAAATATAAGTGAGTTCCTTACGTACAGTCCGTTTGAAAAATCCTTTACACCCTTCACACGAAAAGACACCTATAAGAGCATGACAAGAAACTTTCAATAAAAAACTGACGCTAATTCGGCGTGCGCGCACCTACACAAATATAAAGACTTTTAATCTGTTAATTTAACTAATAAATTAAAAATATATCTCTTTGATTAAGATCTCAAAAGAGGAAATTCATATTATAAATGAAAACAAAATATAAAGATATTTATAGCATTCATGTCTTGAGTTCAAAAAGAACACATAATAAAGTAGTCGAACGTGTCGACAACTTCATTTGGAAGTCTGATCAGCCCTAATGAGTTGGTGTCTGGTGAAATCTGTGCACGGATTCAGAAAGCTCATTTGGCTTTTGCCAACTTACGTCACCTATGGTGAAGGTGAGATATCCGTTTATCAACTAAAGGACGGGTATACTGCGCAGCAGTTCGTTCTGTTCTACTTTACGGCTGCAAAACAAGGTCATCAAGAGTAAAGGATACACGTAAGTTACTAGTATTTGGTCCCAGATGTCTTAGAAAGATCGCCCGCATTGAATTAACTACTTCTGTGAATCCAGTGTCCATCTTGCTGTGCTAATGAGGTATGGCAACTTGGACCGATGCATATATGTGCCTGGTTCTATGTTGTAGCCGACTGACTGAATCCTTTCAGTCTTGTAAAAGTACTTCGCACTTAAAAGGTGCAAAGCACATGTCATATCTATGGACACTGACTGCCCACTGATTAAGCGCGGACTGCATGACTTGAGTATCATTGCACAGTATAAGACAATAGTATAAGCACACTTAAGATTGAAAAATATTTCTCCAGATAACAGATACACCCCACTGTTACCTGCATCCCTTAAAGCCATTTCTAGAATGTCATCTGTGAGATTATGCAACTGATTAACCCTACTTACTCAAATGGAATGAGTTGACTTTGAAACAACTAATAATTTGTATTATTAGCTTCTATTAGAGAGAGAGAACATGTATGGATGAACTAGAGGCAGTAAAAAAAATGGTAAAACAATTTAAGAGGGATAAAAATTTCAAAGAAAAAAAACTGACCATAGTGTTTTCCACTTGCACGATCGGAACATATTGAACAAATATACTGTCCAGATGAAACAGACACACCACCACTAGTACCACTACAGGAACTACCACAACTACTTCCACTGCTTGTACTGGTTGAACGTCCCGATGGCCGTAACAAACAACATATGGTAGATGATTGTAATGTTGTTGATGGTGAATTACAATTTGTTAATAATGGAGAGGAGGATATTACTGAGTGTGATCTATCATTATTTGATAAACAATTTGAATCAATATAAGAACTAGTACCTAAATTATGTGTATTATTATCATTATTTTTAACCGGAGATGAAATTAAAATCGGTTGAATATGACACAATTCTGATGGTTGAACAATACCAGTAGTAGTTTTAGTTAATAGAATATTTTTATCAATAATATGTTGCTTTGTATTATCAGTTTTGAACACAACATTATTACTACCATTGGGCGACTGTTGACTTATTATTGGAATATTATTTGAATTGGATGATATACAACACAAAACCGGTGTAGTTAATTTCTTAGTAGACAATTGAGATACAACAATAGAACATTCAGATTGATGACCAGCTGTTTCAGGAAAATTCATACGATTCTGATAAGTCGATTGAAAAGGAGCAGAATTCTGTAGAAAATAAGTTTAAGAGTTAAACATAAACTAATGTTTTTTTTTCTTTTTTAGAATAAAATTTGAATTATGCATTAGTATACCATGAAAATTAACTTATTAATTATTGTGATTATAATAGATGTAGCAGAGCAAAAAATGTTGTTCCATATAGTCATTTTGTATTGATTATTTTATTAGAATAAACTATTATAGAATTTAACGATACCACTTATCAGTTAGCTACCCAAAATTAAGCAAATGATACAAGTATAAAACAAATATCAATGGTTCAATAGACATTAAGAATATCAAACTAATAATTTAACTTTAAAGCGCTACTAACAATACAATTATTGGCTTTAAAAAGTCCTTTACATCTTTTATATATGTGTATCCAATCACAAGCTTTCATTTGACACTAACTACTGTTATACGATTTACTGTTTTTGACATATATTTCTAATCTATTAGTTACGGTCTCTTATACTCACAACCACTTTTGGTTTGATCTTATATAATTATTATTTTTTCCTTTTATGGTGTGATGCGGTCTGGTCTGCTTCTATATAAATCACGTATATCTGAAAAACAACGCCTGTAACCCTTCATGGATCCACAATCATCAAAGCATCCTTCAAACAAAGAAGGAAGGGGTCGAAATGAATGTTATCCAATGCTAGGCACCCACCAACGAGAGTAACGAAGACAATAAAGACAAGTTTTACCAGAGGCAGAAATAAGGTCAGCGCGCCAGTGGACTGGACATTTCGATGGAGAGTAGCATAGATCGCAGCAAAGAAGATGGAATGGCGAACAAAACAACCTCAAGAGTGAGCGTTTACAAGGGGGATGAGTGTAGTGTATGCTACTTATGTCTGTCGGCATACGTAGTGGAAGTGGAAAACCTGACAGCAGAAGGTTGAGATGATCGAATCGAACAGAACAGAAACAGAGAGTAATTGTTGTGCCAATGAAGGAACAGTGAAGTTTGAGACAGTTAATTGACATTTCACAAATTAAGTATTTACTGTATAATTCTCAGGTTTTACTAAAAAGCCCTGTAATTTTGTGTTCAAATACATTCGATTTTCCCCACTTGTGTTCTCGTTCACTACAGTCAGAATCTTCAATACGAACGCCAAGACGATTCTACTGTATGGAGCTGGGACGTGGATAACTAATAAAATTATCATCGAAAAGTGCAAGTATTTATAAACAATTGTCTACGCAAGATACCCAATATCTGTTGGCCGGATACTATCAACATCAACTTACTATGGCAGAGAACACTTCAACTTCCAGTTGAAGAGAAAATTAGGAAAAGACGTTGTAAGTGGATAGGACACGCACTGCAGAAATCACCACATTGTATCACAAGGCATTCCCTAACTTGGAATTCTCAAGGTGAAAGGAAGAGTCAGACCAAAGAACATACTGGAGGTAAACATCAAAATAATGAATAACAACCGAACACAATTGGAAAGGATTGCCCAGGACAGATTTCGGTGGAGAGTGCTGGTGGGAGGCCTATGCTCTTCCTAAGTAAGTAATGTCTGAAGTATATGATGCATATAGCGGATGCTGATATTTGTATTCTGCACTGGACGGACTGACTTAAACGAGAAGCTAATATATCGGAGACCAATAAGGATTCAGAGTTGACTGAGGGCTGCTAGTACTGGTTGTGTCATTGGTTTAAGGTCATACGGCAAACAGTTTCTTACAGGAAATGATTGTTGAATTTGTTTAAGAACATTACTTAGCCGTAATGGTTTAAATAGTTTTTGCATTAAAATGACTAAAAATGAGTCGATAATAAGTAGTACTTCCAAGATTTCGAATTACACAGAAAACACGTTACTTTTAAAACTGTAAGTTAGACCGACTCAATGTGGTAAACGTTTAATTGCAATATAGTTGGTCATTGGCTTAGTTCTGTCGATAATTAACAACATTAGCTTACTTCATATATTTATTAGACAGACTGTGTTTATATGATAACGAAAATTATTACAAAATGCCATAAAATAAAGACTAGAATAATTGTTTGACTGGTGAGTACACTAAGCAAAAGTGTAGACAGAATGATCTAGTGGTACTAACTTTTAAACACAGGTTTTCCACATGATCGTTGTTTCTATGAAATAGGATCCTAATCACCAGGCCTGAACTACTTTACACACTTAAGATCGAAAATTAATAGGTTTATTATTAATAATGAATAACCGGGGTTAATGACTGAAAGAATAAAAGTTACTGAAATACAAAACTTCGACTACATTCGCTATGCGAAGACTGATCGTAAGTCCAGTCTGAATTTGTCAGATGTATGTGTGATATACTGAATGTACTAACTCGAGCTATGGTGAAACGGTTAAGACTATAACAAATATCTCCATAAAAAATTGACGTAAAGCTACCGGGAACAGCTACAAAACAGATTTAAATAGATATATGACAAATATACAAATAAAATTAACGACCCTGTTGTTAATAGGATAGGATTTTAATTAGCGCGTGATTGAATCAAGATCAGAGTCAGGAAGAGCTGACTGGCTCATTCTGTAACCAATCAGCTCTAGTGAATAGATTGGGAAGATATTAGAATATTGCTATGTAAATACTATACATACGCTAACGTCTTTACTATATTAAGTTTTGCTGTTCGAATTTTGGAGCATACTTTTTTATTTAGTCATAGTTTTTACTCCGATTTCTGATCAATCGAGTGAAATATTGAGTCCATAGAATACTAAGGAGGTTGAAAAAATGCCACATAGTATGGTGTATAATGTGACAATTGGAATCTGTAAACTACCGTGAGATATATTTTAAAGGTGTTAGCTTAATGGTGATCGATTTCTAACCATGTTGTTTAGCTTCATCACCATCTTGTGGACCAAATTCACGAATCAAGACCTACTACAAGCAGGTTAGTTAGATCAACAGTTGATGTGGCCAAGGGATTAAAGAAGCGTTTCATGGTAAGATGAACTTCCTAACATTAAAATGTCATCTGTGTTACGATTTTTCATTTTCTTTCGTTTCCACACCAATCATTCTCTGTTCTCGTCCTCTTTTCTTTGATTTTTTTAACCTTCTGCCTCCAGGCATTTCACTATGTGTGAAAATATTTTATATGTTAAATAAAGTTAAAGACTGTATTTCGTCAAGTGACCTGGAGATTGAGTTCTTATACACAATGAACAGGAACCCGGAAGTGAAATGAGATTGATTAATTGTGACAGAGATTCACTTCAAGTCGGTGGAAATAGCAATCGTGAATGGGAAATATCATTAGCGTGAATTCAATGTGGTATCGTATCTACTTGTCCAATAAGATAAAATGAGTTTAGACTTACGGAGCACTATACCTGTTTCTTGAGGTTAGATAGTCATAGAAACGGGGGAGAGTGGGGACAAAAATACGAAGCGATAATTGATTTCAATAAATTGTACATTACTTTATTGTGAATCTCATCTGGCAACATAACGACAGTGATGTTAGAGAGAGACATATGAGTTTGTTACAAAGGGTACAACTGAAAGATGAAAGCATGCTTACCCATTTGCGTAGGGCATGATCATCCCCTTAATAATGATGTGATTTGACTATATGAATTTCAGCTACACATACTAATTACTAACTGGATCGGCACAATAGGAACAAATCTTGTTACAATAATATTTTAAAATCAAATGTATACAAAACTAAGTTGTGTCAAGTGTTGAAAAGGTTGGAATGATGATAAAATAATAGTCAAAAATTTAAACCGATATATCGTTTGATGTGATTTTAATCTATGAACTGTTCATATGTAATACAGTTTATTTTGTATAATAATCTTTATGTTAAGAAATCAGTCATATGCGACATGGAACATGGGATATATGTATATTGGTTAACGATACTGTATCACATTAGTACAACGAGTTGAAAATACCAAGAAAAATCTCGGGATAACAGAGATAGTAACAATATCAGTGTCAGCATAATAGATTAAAAAAGGTATAAGGTTTCGATAATCAAAACATAAGGGTAGACAAACAATGAATGCACCTACACCATTGTGAACGATTCTGAGTCAATCCACTCAACATCTTTAAACACTGATTGAAGTTATGGAGATGACCTAAACCAGGTAGCCTCAGACTAACAGTCAGTGTCTTTATGGACTGATGCCGTATCTTGGTTTGGGAGCTCTTAGCTTTCACCAGATAACAATATGCCGTCGAGGTAGGCTGTGGTTTAGCATACATAATGCATGTCCCAACCACCGGTTGATGAAGATTTACAACCTCATCAGCTGATTTACCTTTGCCTAACCTCACGATTGTTTACTCGGTAGTCTCACCATAAGTGATCAATGCTTCGAAGACGCGTGATCAAATACCAGTAACCTACGAATATAATTCCCAATGGTCGCGTTACATATCCATAAAGTAGAACGGAGACAGCCGCTGCACAATAAACTCATTCTTTGGTTGGCAGATAGACAACTTGTCTACGCCACGAATAACACAAGTTGGCAAACTCCAACTGAGAATTTTGAATGAGTAACAGATTTCGTAAAACATTTCTCCTCCATGGCTATGGGACTTCTAAGATGAGTGAATCGGTCAACCCGATTAACTAATTAACTTCTTATCATGGGTCCAGGCATTGACCAAGACCAGCATGGAAGCAAGATTTCGCATTCGAGAGACAAATGCATTCCAAATATGCTTGGATTGTCGCTGAGAGGTATCAGAAAACCACATTTTGTCAGCGTCTTTAACAAATAGAACCGTGTCACCAGTGTATTCTAAATGGAAAAGTGAATCTCCTGGTAGAGCAACATCTGAAAAGTTAAGGGATGTAATGTTACTTCGAGAAGGATATCTATAGCGAGGTTGAATAAGAAGGGAGAGAATGAGGTTGATGTACTTGTTTGGTATGTCTTTCAAAGAAAAAAAATTTCCATGAAACCTCTCAAACAATGAAGCTGGATGCTACCCCAAGGTCAAGGAATACAGCTGTAATAAGACATCGGAAAATGTATCTATGTTCCAACATCTGACGAAGAGTGAACATATGGCTCACAAACTGGTCTAAAACCAGCTTAGTTTTTCGGGCTCGCTCTTCACGGGCACCAGTTAAGAGTCGGGTGATTACTGAAGCTAATATTTTTGATATTATATTGTTCAGGTTGATCCATCTGTGTTTGCTATAAGGGAATTTTCGTCCTTCCTAATAAACTGGGTTCATCAGTGATTGGTTCCAGTCGGATGAGTTTCTAGATTCTATCTAATATTTCAGTCCATCTAACTGTTAATACTAGACGACCGTCCCTAAAGATCTCCAGGATTAGTCTATCAGGTTCAGCTGCCATTCCTTAATTTAGGTTAGCTATAATATTTCAAATTCATTAATATTCAGAGGTTTACTTCAGTCTCCAATTTCGTTTGTTTTGGAGTAGTAAGTTATCAAGGGGTAGCTGGAGACAAGTTGAACTGTTTCCTATAATGTACTGTCCATCGGTCTAATCTCCTGGAATCAGAGTGAATAGTGGTTCCGTCTATTTACGAAATGATCTCACTAAAAACCGAATTTCTAATACAGGTTTTGTTATGACCTTGGATGTCTGACTTTTCGATCACACGACTTATCTACCAATCCGAATACGACTTATACGGATCTTCACACTAGGCCAACCAATGACGTTCAACCGGTGTGGGCAGTTTAGCGTCCTTATTGGTCCTATGTCCTACGAGCCCTTCCACTTGAGTACAGAACACAATACCAGCTTCCGAATCAGAGCAGATCAGACCAGAACAGAGCAGATCATTTATTTCAGACATACTTGGTTTATATATCAATCAGACAAACCTCAACGTACCATAAAATAGGAAATAATACTTGTACACAAATAAGCCAAAAAGTGGCTGTGAATGTGGGAGGCATTAGTTAATAAACTGAGCATAACTTAAGAACCGTAAATCGTACAATAATAAATTATAGGTCAAAATAAAGCTTACCATAAAAGGAATATAAATATACATAATGTAATTGTTGAGTAGTTACACAATAAGAATATTTATAGAATATTAGTCCATGAATAGTCCTTGGAAATTACCTGTAATTTAATATTCACTAGGATATAACAGGTTTCTTTGATGAATCGGAATAATTATCTACTGTTACGTGTTGCTCTTTCCATCTCTTCTGGTTTTGATGACCATCATTGCTCATGATCGCTACGCAGGCTTTTTGTTAGTCTAAATTTAGACTGCCTTTGCACCTCATTGTATTCTAAACATGACGAAATAGGTTGCTGAGCATCTATCAATTCAGTATGTGCCACTGAAATCCACTGATGTTTCTTAATCTGTGGGTTTAAGATACTAGTATATATCACCGCTGTTTGGATATCACGCCAAGGTACGTCAAGGTAAACGTCACTTTTATGGTTGATTAGTTGCATCTCTTGTTGTTCTTGAAATATACACTTGACTTTCCCATCATTAAGATAAGCTATAAGGGGTTTTCCTTCTATGACTTTTCTGTGCCCAGGAGGACGCAGGCAAACACGTGCTCTCATTAGAGTCAGTCAGTCAGTTAGCTACAACGTAGGATCAGGCACATATATGCATCGGTCAAAGCTGCCACACCTCGTTAGCACAACAATATTAACACCGAATCCATAGAAGTAGTTACTTCAATGATAGTAATATGTCGAAGAAAGATAGTGTATAAGGATATAGTACAGGAAGAAAGAATTAGAAAGGTATAAAGTAATTTTAATCTCATGGTTTAAGGGAAGACAAAGAGTGTATACACAGATGCTATTGTGCTCTCACTAGAACATGATTAGGGTTTAAACATGTGCTTCAAAATGAGTGACAGTCTTATGTTGAACCTTCCAAAGATGACTAACTTCAATGTGGTTTATCTGCATCAATCGTTCAGTCAATCCCGAGGATCGCCACAACAGACGGTGTCTTTCTTTATGCTTAAAGTTTGTGCTTGATAGAAATAAGAAATTATCTAAGCATAGTTACAGTAGCTGATCGCCATTATCTGTTTGCTGAGCTGCGATACTTAAGTGCCTTACAGCTTCGTTTATACCACCAACTTGGGCATTAAAATCACCTGATACTATTGTGGTGTATGCTACTTATATCGACAGACATAAGTAGTATGTAGCACCAATAAGAAGAATGGCTGGAAGCAAAAGGCTAGGAAGATCGGATTGAAGAAAACAGAAAGGAATTTTGAACTGAAAGAATCAGACAGAATGAAAGGGACAATTAGTAAAAGAGCTGCAAATGAAGTATTTAATGTATGGTTCCGTAACTTGTTATTAAATAATAAATTGGTTATCCCCGCGCGAGTCTCGCTCATCACACTATTATTAAATCTGAGCGTTTAGCTTTTGAGAACTAAAACATTCCTATGAAATTTATCTTTAACTTCACTAGAACTCCACTCATTGGGAGTGTGGGCAGAGATGATGAAGAAGTAATGGCGTGGGTCTCTCTGAGTACTAACTTTTAATGTGCTAGCTCTCGATTTTAAGAGGTCCTACCCTCGAAAACAGAAACCCATGTGGTAAAGTGAGATCTGAAATTTTTAGTATCGACCTTTGTAAACAATTCTTTTTGTTGTGAGAAGGCAGCATCGCTACAGATGCTATTGACTGGGGGAAACGCCTTACTGACATCACACTCAGTAAAGTTAGCGGTACAACCTAGTCCCTGGTTTTAGTTTTACTGTTGTCCAACGGACCTGACTGTCATGGTAAGATCTAAAGAAATGTGTTCAAGCCAACATACAAAAATATCCTTCCATTATTAAATAAAGGTTAATAAGTTGATTCAATTTCATTGGTTACACAGTATGGATGTCTATAAATCAATCCAAGTTACCATATTTCATACTTACACAGACAAAGAACATTAACAAGATGAATAGTGAAAAATTGGAATAATAACTAAGTAAATGTTACAGGAAAACGAAAGTAGTATTTATATTTCATAAAGAAATGAATGAAAAGTGTGGAATAACAACCATAAGCTCAATTATTTAATGGAAGATAAAGAATTGAATGACACAACTAAAGTTACTGAGATCGATTTCGATCTATATCATCATTTAACATCTTCAACTAGGAAGTATACACTTTCCTATATGGTCATTATTTGATAATAAACCATTTTGATCGTGTTGTTGATGTAACTCAACAATGCAAAGAGAAAGCGAAAACAATGATGGGCAGATGATAAACACATTTCACAACAAAACTTCATAAACTGGATTTAAACTAAACTATAACATCTCAAATACATCACTTAATTTGTCATATTGATTTATTATACATCAAATACAATAGTTCGGACTTGAATAAATTATGTGATTTAGTCAGCTTACAACTAACTAATTAATCAATAAAATTAGTGTGTTTTACACCAATCTACTAACGTTCTGAGAATAAAAGTCATAATCAATAAATCCAACTGGTTTACTGAGTTATATGCTTGCTCCTTTTTACTGACAGAAATTGTCAATATGTTTTCTAATTTGTAGAGGTCTATGTGGTGATATCTACCAAAATATTGTGTTTTTCATTCACTGGTATAGATTTGAAAAAATGTAATGATAATAATAAACAATTGGAGACCTGAGGCGACAAGGTTCATATTCTATCACAGAGGTGTTTTTCTATATATTCATTTGACTACTAAACAGTTTTATTCCAAACTTTCCCCTTCCTAATTTTATGCATTGCTTTCTTCAATCGTAATTCCTGTTTAGTTTTTAACTGTAACGTTGATACTGTTAAGTTGATTGTTTTCGGTGTCCATATCTTTAGTTTCCTTTCTGACCAAGCTGACATAAAGTATTAGACAGTTCTGATCGACTTCTATCGATTAAGTCCTGAAGGAGGTCAGCTGCGACTCGAATAACTCAGTGACATCTTACTGTAAAACAGTGTGATTACGGTCCAAAGCGATTTGAGAACACTGGTTCATTGAGGATTGCAGGTACCTTGCTGGTGAATGCCGACTAGTATGAAACCTCGACCCAAGATTTTCTGTTGGCTAAATCCAACTACCCAACAACGAAATATAGGGCTTTTACAGCTGGTTCATTTTATTTGAACACATAAATATTGGTACAAAGGGGCATCGAATATATATGCGCCATACAAGTCATTCGATTTGTGTATGGGCTATGATACTGCCCGGGTGCCCGAACCGAAGAAGCTGACTAGGTGAACAAATGACAACAGAAATACTCAAATGAGACAGAAATAATAACAAATTAAGCTCTATGATTCAAGGAAATACTTTCGACTTTTCAAGTCATAGATAGGTACTTTTGAAATTTTAAAGTAGGATTGAATAGTTAGCATATATATATATATATATATATATATATATATATATATATATATGGCATATTTAGTGCTGATCGTTTTGAGGTCACGTTGCGCCCAATAAATAAAATATACTAAAGTTAGGCATTGATTCCAACCAATCCACGATACTGCGCGACCATAAACACCGTCGGATTCCAGCTCAGTGGTATAGAGGTTAGGCGTTTGCGAGAGACTGAAGGTTCTGAATTTGAGTCCCGCGTATGGGATCGTGTATGCGCACAGCTGAGGAGTACCATACTAACACGAAACGGCTACTCAGTGTTTCCAGTATTAAAAAGCGGTCTAACACTAACCATTTCGAGATCTCAATGAAAAAACTTAACGATTTCCATCACCCCATACTAATAAAATACACTGAATTTGTATGGCACCTATCATCCTCAAAAACCGACACAAACCCTGTGTTTAGTTATCAAAACGTAAACCAGGAAGCAATTTTATGGTAGAAAAAGGAATCACAGTATAACAACTTTTAAAAACTAACTTACACGACGCATGGGAGAACTAAATGGTCGTGACGATGACAATCTAGAAGTCGGGGCTGGATTTGTTTTAGGCGATTCAGAGGAATAACGATGAGTATTCATTTCTAATCGACCGAACGAGTGTTCGGGATTAATAGGAGTAGATATGCTTGTGGTTAAGGGGTACTGTGTGCCCTGACAAAATGGGATCCTAAGATTTTGTGTTGTTTTTATGGGATCACTCATCTGTGATAGAAATGGTTGGATTAGTGTTTCTTGTGGATGATTAAATGTTAACTGATCGTTTAGAATGGTGTAATTGGGTTTTGAGAGAACAGCAGTTGGTGTCAAATACTGGAAACTGCCAACCAATCCACCTCCGAGGACTGGTTGTACTGCTGTTGAATTTCCATCTTTAACATAAATCGCTGCTTTATCAGTGACTGAAGTATTCTCGGGAAGAAAACCAGTTATCTGAGAATTGGGTACATATGCAGGATATGGTACTGAATGTTCCCAATTTGTGATCATTTGAGTATTGACTGCGGATCCACTGGGGATTGAAGAATGGGACCAAAATGAATTATCAGTACTGTTTATAACAGGCTGTGATCGGAAATCTCCATTGAATATCAATGTAGTTGAAGCAGAATCACTAGATGGCAAATTAACAGTACTAGATACTGCGACCTTTTGATTTGGTGAACATGAGAACACAGAATATATGGACTGAGTAGTCTGAGGTATACTTACATGAAGTTGTGGATGACTCGGAGCAGTTGCAAACTGTTGTCTAATCGAACAAGATGAAGACTGAGTTCGACTGGAATATGGAGAATGAGAAATGAACGGTAGATTGGGACCAGGAATGTTAGAATTGCAATTTTCGCCAACTTTTGTAGAAGTTCAGGATATCTGATGAGTTTTGTGTCATTTGACATATGTTTAGGTGATTTCCCAACATTCTTCAAAGAATATGGTGAGCTATGGGGTAAGTCAGATGAATGTGAAGTGAATAACTCTAGAGTTTGAACTGTAGGAAAGCATTTAGGAGCACCTGGATATTCTTGATAATCTGATGAATACTTATTTTTAACGAAAGAGTCAGTCCGTAATTGCTGATTACAAATGTTATCAATTGGAAAAACCTGATTATCAATTACAAAACTACTTTCATGTATACTTCTGCGAATTTGTACACTAGACAATGGAGTTAACGGAGAGTAAGAATAAGGTATATGATTAGGTTTTATTATTGGATGAGGTGCATGATGATCAGTAGGAGATTGATGTATAGATGATGGTCGTGTTATTGAAGGTATATCTGCCCCAACTAATCCCATTGAATAAGAAGTAATGTTAAGTGGTCCAAGATCATCAGGTACTGTATTAGAAGGCAGTGATTGAACATTATCTAAAGGAGTATTTGTTTTATAGTGTGCTTGAAAATTTTCATATTCGCTTGATTCAAGTGACGGTACAGTTTGTAAATTTGTATCAGATGGTAATGAGATAATGGGTACTAAAGCGCTAGTACTGTTTAGCGGGTTGAAATCTGTGAATAAGATTTTTGAAAAAAAAAACAATAGGGAATACAGATTAAAACATTATTCTGAATACTAAAATCCATCTCTCTATTTAATTAAATCAATGAATATAATTCTAGTTTCTTGTGAATGTCAGAGTTGTCTTTTTCATAACCCCATTAATCTAACTCAATTATGAGGTACAGGTTTTATGTACTCGACTTTAAGCAATACTTCATAACCTCACAACCTGGCAAATTACTTGTTAGTTGAGATATAGTAAATGAGAATTTATTATTTATCGAGCACACTATTCATCGTTCATCTAAACACAATTTGTCTAAAATTCGATGAAGTGCAAGTTCCAGCAAGATTTGTTGCTCAAGATAAGATAAGTAAACGACTAATGAGGCGTATCCTTTGATGGGATTTTCAGTTCCTTTCAAAAGTAGAAAAAATACTTGTTTATGGTTTCTAATTTTGGAAGACGAAAAAACTCACTAATGAAAAAATAAGAAGCTTTCACTAATAGGTAAATTAGTGTACGGCAATATTCAGTACAAATATATTTCATTTTTATGAAAACATGAGATTCCGTTAGATATGACATATTTGATAACTAACCATTAAGTAACTCCTAGATTTTACTTCATAACTGCCAATGAATACTGAGTGCTAGACGACATTTTTTAACTAACAAAAGCTAATAATTGCAGACTTACTGACCAGTGTGTTAACATTTTCCCCCTATTTTCTCAGTTACCACAGCATCATCATCCTAGTATAAGCTCAGTTAGATAACATTCTATCCTATGCTTATTCCAAGTATATTTGTAAACAATACCTATTCCGAAGTTGACGTTAATCATACTGGAAATTGATCAGAAATGGCATAATATTAAGTCTAACAAAAAATAAGTTATTTTGAACAAAACTATGTAACAGTAACTCCGCCTGAAGTCCCTCCAGGGGCTATTGCCGGTACAAGCCCTGAAAAAGGAGGAGGGTTGGGCATGGGGTTAGCGTCCCCATCTCGTAGAAAACTAACCCGCTAAAAAACACAAACCAGAAAAAATTATTCAAACCTTTTAAACTCTGCCCCGGGGGTCAGAAGGTCTTCATTTAGAAGAATTATGACGCCTCATGATGAAAGCCTAATTCCTTCGGAAGTCACGAGGCCGATGCCCCTTCTGACAACCAGAGCAACCATTTGTTTAGGTACATGGAATACGCGTACAATGTGGGACACCGGGAGAGCCTTCCAAATTGCTGCAGAAATGAGAAGATACAACCTAGAGGTACTTGGGATCAGTGAAACACATTGGACACAAGTTGGACAACAACGACTAACTACAGGAGAGCTCCTGTTATACTCCGGCCATGAAGAAGAAAATGCTCCACATACACAAGGAGTTGCATTGATGCTGTCCAAACAAGCGCAAAATGCGCTTATAGGATAGGAATCTCATGGACCAAGGATCATCAAAGCCTCGTTCAAAACAAAAAAGAGGGTATTTCAATGAACATCATCCAATGCTATGTGCCTACCAACGACTACAATGAAGACGCTAAAGATCAATTCTACAATAGGCTGCAGTCAATCATCGAGAAGTGCCCAACAAAGCACCCGACCATTCTGATGGGAAATTTAAATGTAAAGGTTGGAATGGACAACACCAGATATGAAAACATCATGGGACAACACGGACTGGGAGAAAGGAACGAAAATGGTGAGAGATTTGCAAACCTATGTGCCTTCAATAAACTGGTCATAGGCCGCACCATATTCCCACATAAACGCATTCACAAAATTACATGGACTTCACCGGATCACACTACGCAAGCCGAATCGACCATATTTGCATCAACAAAAAGTTCACGAGGACTATAGAGGACGTGAGAACCAAGAGGAGCTGAGAAGCAAACATGAGACAACTGTATGACATAACAAGAAACTCTCTGGAAACCGCCGCAAACCAGAACGACCATGGAAAGCAAGGAAGGCGAGGTAATCACCAACATTGAAGAACAACGACACAGGTGGGTAGAACACTTCAAAGAACTCTTGATTTGACCAGCCCCACTGAACCCACCCAACATAGAAGAAGCACCCACGGACCTCACAATCAATGTTGGCCCACCAACAATTGAAGAAATCTGCATGGCCATCAGACAAATCAAGAGTGGCAAAGCAGCAGGACCAGACAACATTCCAACAGAGGCACTGGAAGCAGACGTAGCGGTAACTGCAAGGATGCTCCACATTCTCTTCAATAAGATTTGGGATGAGGAACAAGTACCAAAAGACTGAAAAGAAGGACTCCTGATCAAAATACCGAAGAAAGGCGATCTCAGGAAGTGTGATAACTACAGGGGCATCAGTCTTCTCTCAATACAGGGAAAAGTCTTCAACAGGGTATTGTTAAACAGAATGAAGGACTGCGTAGACGCCCAACTTCGTGACCAACAGGCAGGATTCCGTAAGGATAGATCGTGTACAGACCAAATCGCAACTCTACAGATCATTGTGGAACAATCAATTGAATGGAATTCATCACTCTACATCAACTTCATTGACTACGAAAAGGCATTTGATAGCGTGGACAGAACAATACTATGGAAACTTCTTCGACACTACGGCGTGCCTCAGAAGATAGTCAATATCATACAGAGTTCATATGATGGATTACACTGCAAAATCGTGCATGCAGAACAGTTGACAAATTCGTTCGAAATAAAGACCGGTGTCAGGCAAGGTTGCTTACTCTCACCCTTTCTCTTTCTCCTGGTGATCGACTGGATCATGAAGACGTCAACATCTGAAGGGAAACACGGGATACAATGGACATCTAGGATGCAGTTGGACGATCTGGACTTCGCAGATGATCTGGCTCTTCTATCCCAAACGCAACAATAAATGCAAGAGAAGACGAACAGTGTGGCAGCAGCCTCAGTAGCAGTAGGTCTCAATATACACAAAGGGAAAAGCAGGATTCTCCGATACAACACAGCATGCACCAATCCAATCACAATTGACGGAGAAGATTTGGAAGATGTAAAAGCCTTTACATATTTGGGCAGCATCATTGATGAACAAGGTGGATCTGATGCAGATGTGAAGGCGCGGATCGACAAGGCAAGAGCAGCATATTTACAACGGAGGAACATCTGGAACTCAAAGCAACTGACAGAGTGGGTTGGAGAATGCTGGTCGGCGGCCTATGCTCCATTGAGAGTAACAGGCGTAAGTAAGTAAGTAATGTAACAGTACTACGCTAACTGATGATTTATAAAAACTATGCCACTGTGCAATAATTCCTTTTTCAAAATGCTTACTTTTATGTTAGTTGTGCTAAGGATAATATAAATGGGAAACTGTATTATTTTTTCTTATTTCGTGACAATTATACTATAACAAAAGCTCTTCATTCCAGTGGGTTTTGGTTCATTATAAACAAATTTTGGAAGTAAAAATACTGCTTGAAGATGTTTTTAAGGCGATTAGCAGACTGTCATATGAAATAGACGACAACTAACAAATAACATCTATCTTAACGATCTTTATCTATTTTTTCATCAATTTACTGTAGTTTATTCATCGTAAATAACCTCCTTACCCTTAACATTTCCTATTTGTTATATCTAGAAGGTTGTTCTTGATATACTGCGTATAACGTGAGCACTAGAACGCCAGAACCCTTCCAAGTCGCAATAAGACAGAAGACTAATGAAAGGAATATTACTTCCAGACAGTGTCAATTATAATACAAAACTGTCAGGTATTTATAGTTTTTAGTAAGAACGAAATCATCATTACAGTCCACCAATCCACATACAGGGGGTTATTAGCATTGTCCAGTCGGGAAGCTACACATAGGAATTCTAGAATATTCTTCCAAAAGGTAATTGGATGGAATATCTTCAGCTCCTTTTGAGCCTGCTACAGCTTCCTCGAGTTCACCAGTGGTCCGTCGTCACACCCTCCTTTAACGTCTGTTGTGTAAGACTTTTTTCCTCGGATCCACCTGAAACTTGGTTGCCCCATTCCTCTTGCGGTGCATCACTCTCCAGGGTTGTACTGCTTTGCCCTTGCGTCGTTTATCTCTTCTATGTTTGCGCTCCGAAGGGCTTTTCTGAGATGAATCCACGAGCAATTCAAATGGGCGTCGGCTTTCTGGGACCACTGTACTGCCGTCTCTTTGAATTTGATTTATGTGTCTTATACATTTTCCGACACCTTTCCGGACTAGGTACAGTACATTTCAGATTTGACGTTCTATGACACCTGGTCCCCACTTCCTATTACCTTGATACGATTTGACAAGTACCTTTTCACCCACCTGAAAGCTACGAGTGACCGTACGATACCCATTCGTGGGGTTATTTGTCTTTCTGAATGGCAACATACTGTTAAAGACTCTCTGGATTTTCCTTCCGAACATACACTCGGCTGGTGACTTTTCTTCTGGTACTGCCGGATTAGGGGTAACTCTGTAAGATATTAAGAACTTACTGATCACTTGTTCTGGGATACCCTCACCACCCCCTTTGACCAGAGCTCTTTTTATCGTACCCATGAATCTTTCTGCTTGGCCATTCAACTGAGGATGGTACGAAGGAGATTGTAGATGCGATATGCCATTTTCACTGCAAAAGCGTTTGAAAGCGTTTGACATAAACTGAGTACCGTTGTCGATCACTTAGATCTCTGGAACCCCGAAACAAGCAAACAATCCTGACAATCTTCTTATTGTACTCTCTGATGTCGTTTTCAGCATGTCCTATACTTCTGACCATTTTGTGAAATCATCGACAACAACTAAGTAATTTCTGCCTTGTATTGGTCCGGCGAAATCAGCGTGTATTCTTTGCCAAGGCCCGTCCGGTTTTGGCCATGGTTGTGGTTCAGCTTTCGTTGAATTCTTCACAGCCTCTAGACAAGACCAACAACTGCGACATTTTTGTTCTATATCATGGTTCATTGAGGGCTAGTATGCACAGCTGCGAGCTAGCGATTTCATTTTACTTATCCCCGGGTGCCCGCTGTGGAACTGCTTAATGACTTGGTGTCGAAGATTTCTGGGGATAAGGATACGGTGGCCAAACATGATGCACGAATCGATAACTGTCAAGGAATCTCGTCGACGAATATATTGTAAGATTTCTCCATGTAGTCTAGATGAAGGCCACTCGTTGAGTATGCAGTGGCGAACAATCTTCAATGCATTATCCTTCTTGCTAGCTTCTTTAATGGCTTTGAATGTGACCGGGAGTCCGGAAACTGCGTCTGCCAATACTTTGTGAACCTCAGCCTCAACACCTATGGCAGCTACGAGCACCTCCTCTTTTTGTTTTGCATGCGAACCAATCAATCTTGAGAGGGCATCTGCCTGTCCAAAATCCGTTGTCTATTGATACTTTATCTTGAAATCATAGCCCAGCAGTGTAGTTGCCCATCGCTGTAGACGGTTTGCTGTATATACAGGGATACCTTTCTTGGGTTTATTAAACTATAAATTTTGGTATTATGGAATCAAACACTAAAGTGGATTTATAGAGGAGGGTAAACGTGTTTCCATTTCATAGTAAACTAAAGTAACCAGTAACTTAATATGTACAGCGAACTTGTGTGACATGTTTATCACTTTACTGACTAATTCATATATTTCGCCAACACTTTAGACATTATATCAATCTGTTATATTGGTCTGGTCCTCATTTGTTACTAAGTCGTCTTTTATAATTGAATGATGTGTGTTGAGCTAGTTCCCAAATATACCTTCAATTTCCAGCTTACAGATAAATTTTAGGTCTTCAAGAACATTTGGGAGCAGAAAAACCTGTTTGATTTAACGCGTGTTCAGAATTTAAATATATGCTTGGAAAAGCAGGAAATCTACAGTCAAGCTACTTTTAATAGCAAATTGAAAAATAAAAATTAGATTGTTTCAATGAACAGGCTGTTACAGAGAGTAATCATTATTTGTTTATTCATTTTAGCACATAGATATTGGTACAAGAAGGCACCAAATACATATGCGCCACACAGATTTCATTTGATATGTTTGAGGGCTGTGATATTGCCCGGGTGCCCAAACAGAAGCAAGTGGTTTTCTTAGGGGGCCACATCCGGAGCCTTCGACCTGAAGGTCTGATCCACAAGGCAGAGTAAAAAGATAACTATCTCATCTTTGGATTTATTGTTATATAATGCACCTGAAAATCTAGTTACCATGAAACCGAATAAAGCAAACAACCAACAGGAATGATATTCTATAACTTAAAATTCTTTGTAGTAGCTGAAAAGATCGAGGGACTGGAAATTCCATGAAAGGATCCATATCGGGGAGAGTGAGGAATAGATGATGAAAAAAGTTTATAGTGGATGTTACTTGAGATGAGGATGGATATGTTATTTCTGTATCACCAGAACTTAAGTTACCATGAAGTACCTCGAAGTAATAGACAGATTTATTAACATGAAACCATGAAAAAAAATGTAGAGGTCTAGATTACTTTGCTTCATACTACTACAGGAATATGACATATTCACCGAAATTGGATATGGGCATTTTTCTATCCAAAGGAGATAAGTGTGCTAGTTTGCCATTTAGTTTAAACAAAAGATGCCGAATTGTATGCAAGTAGTTTTGAAATATGAAAAGGTATTTAGGCCGGAGCTAATCTGTGACGGTGTCGACTGTAAGTTTAAACTGTTTGTTAGTCAGTCAGCTACAACGTAGGATCAGGCACATATGTGCATCGGTCCAAGTTGCCATACCTCATTAGCATAACAAGATGAACACCGGATTCATAGAAGTGGTTAATTCAGTGGTGGTAAAATATAAAAGAAAGATTTCATATAAGGATATAGTACAGGAAGAAAGAATTAGTTCGTAGAAAGAAAGATATGAAGCAACTTTAATCTCATAGTTTAAGGGAAGACAAAGAGTGTATACACCGACGCCATTGTGATCGATTCTGAGTCATGTCACCAAGAGTCTCCAACCATTGGTTACGATAGTCATGCGGACCCCAACCAAGTAGTCTGCATCTACCAACATGGCTCAGACTAGAAGTTAGTGACTTCAAGCACTGATGCCACGTTTTGGCTTGACTGCCCCTAACTTTCTTCCATCCGTCTCCAACACTAGTCAGCATTGAGCGTTGTGGTAATCAGTGTTCAGACATACGTAACACGTGGCCCAACCATCTCAGTCTATGAAGATTCACAACCTCATCAACTGATTTACCATCATTTCCTAATACCCTACGCCTAACCTCACTATTACTTACCCGGTGATCCCAGCAGACGCCAGCAATATTTCTAAGACATCTGTGGTCAAATACTAGTAGCTTACAAATATCTTCTACTTCTAAAGGCCACGTTTCGCAACCGTAAAGTAAAACAGAACGAACTGCCGCGCAGTATGCCCGTCCCTTAATTGATAGACAGCTGTCTCGCCTTCGCCATAGGTGACGTAAATTGGCAAAAGCCAAACGAGCTTTTCGAATCCGTGCTGAGATTTCGTCAGACACCAACCCATTAGGGCTGATCAGACTTCCAAGATAAGTGAAGTTGTCAACGCGTTCGACTGCTTTATTTCCTATCCTTAGTTTAGGTGTTGACGCAGGCCAGTCCTGAAGCAACAACTTGCATTTAGAGGGGGAGAAGCGCATCCCAAACATTCTGGCATTGTTGCTCAGTGCTATCAAAGACTCTGTATTTAATCAGCGTCTTCACCAAACAGGACTATATCATCTGCGTATTCTAAATCGATAAGTGGACCTCCTGATGGGAGATCAGTGCCCGAAAAGTCAGTCGATGAGACTGTTATTTAGACCGTTAACAAAATGTTTGCTTTCTGATCAGCTGAGCAATCGAAGAGGAATTGTGAACGTCATGTGATATGAATTTAGAATAACCGAAACCCAATCATTCAATCAGTCAGAAACAGCATAGGACACGGCACTAATATGGATCGACCAAAGTAATCATAGGTATCATTACCAAGGTTTGATTTGATAATTTCGAATAAATTGAGCATTGGGTTGATTGTTATAAATAAAAATAATATATTTGTAATATCCCAATGAGTAGAAAATTAGATTTTCTACTCATTGGGATATTACAAATATATTATTTTTATTTACAAAGTAATCATAATTTACACTAACACAGTCGGAGTGAAGTAACAATATAAAAAGCGGAGTTAAAGTAACGATACTAATATTCGGAGAAAAACGAACAGAAATAATAGTTCGAAATGTATGGATAGGAAGCATGACATAATAATTGGCTTAAGACTTAGGTGGAAAATAAAGGAACGCAGCTGCACAACTGCAACTGATTTTGAGCCATGACACCTCAAGTATCTTATAATAGATTGCAGTTAATTTACGGAACTCAGTTATTAAGACTACATTTCATAACAGAACGTAGATTGGTAGTTACTGATTTCAGTAACTAACTGGATTTCTCGATAGGGTTAGTCACATCATGTGATCTACTTCCATGCTAGTTACAATGTATCGAGGTAGTCGATGGTTCGATACATAAAAAAATACATCTCAACTACTTAATTCAGCGAAAATTCACAACTCCATCGACCAATTTATTTGTCTTTACAGAGCACTCTACGATCAATGCTTCGAAGAAATCTGTGATTGTATATTAGTACTGCTTGTGTACCCCAGGAAAACGAGTCTCCGGGTAGGAATTCAGCCAATGAAACGTTTGATTGTGTTATAATGTTCAAAAATTAAGCCTAACTTTCAGGCCTCGGTCGATTGGAAAATGAGTCCAAAATTTATGAAATATAATTTTTTAGAATTTGGGATAAAAACTATAACTTACCAACAGATATATATTCAGACGTCAAAGTTGGCCGGTGCTCCAAAGTCTTGCTGTTACAACTTAATTTAGTATCAGCATTGTTGGTGTTACTCTCATTGATTTTATTACTCAGGTCATCGAAATTGAAAGAATCGACATCATCACCATTTGAAGACCACAACAATGTCTTTGACGTCACTTCTTCCAGATCTGATAAACTGGCTACATCAATCGCTGGAGCTGAATTACAACTTGACGGTATGTAACCCAACTCAATTAAACCCTCAGCATCGATTAAGCGGCTAATTAGTTCAAAACTAGATATACGATTTTGTTCTTCACCATTATCGTCACAATGAGGATCTCTGGTGATGCCCAGTGGAGAGTTAGGAAAGAATGAATCTAGATGTAACTCTTGGTCTGTAAGATAAATACTACTAGACTCATTCTGGCCATCATTCATATGTACAGTAGCGTGAGAGTTTAGGTAAGAAACGGAATCTTGTTGAACAGGAATATTTTGTACAGACAGAGACGAGGAATGTTCACCAATCTGCTCAACTGAACCCACAGACTGCGGTGTAACAATACTCACCGGTATCATATGGTATTTCGTAAGCCTTATATTTTTAGGGTAGCACGCAATATGGTAAGAAAAAACAGGATTATTTTATAAACATTCTGAATTGATATTACCTAGGGATAAGAATAAGAATAAAAAAATACAAGCCTGGCATAATAAAACGAAAAATACCAAGAGTAAAACGTGTATAAAAAAAACCCAGCGGAGTGAGATATTCAGATTACTTGAGTTAAGATACCTAATGTTCATTGACGTAACTAACACCTTTCCTTCAAGATTTGTTAACTTGAGTATGAGGAGGGCATAGTTTTACAGCGCAATGATAAATAAATTATGCTAATCGTACTGAATCAGTCGGCGATCAGTGTCCGTATGTATGGCACCTTCTAAACACAGAAAACTGCAAAACTAGCAGGAACCTGTGCATGAGCTTACTCTTTGTGGCAAACCGTTAGTAGCAGTCAAAAAGTTCGTGTGTTTGGATAGTACTGAAGGGATGACTGATGACGTCAGTCTACGTCAAGTAAAAGTGGGTCAACTATACGCAACATAAAACCCGACACATGTGTACATCAATTCCAGCTGCCATACCCTAGAGTGGCTTATGATAATCCGAGTCATTATTGTCGCCATAGTGATATCAGTCTAGATGTAAAAGGTCGGCTTTACGGTGCATCGGTGAGAGCAGTTTTGCTCTATGCTTACTGAACCTGACCTCTCTGAAACGAGGATATCAGACGACTATCGGTGTTCCACCATAGCTGTTACCAAATGACTGCTCACAACCGGTGAGAACACTATGTAGTAATGGTGAGATTCTTCAATGTGCGTTTGGTTATAGTGACGATAATTTGATTCATCCTACCATTTTCAAACATAGATTCCAGTGGTTTGGAAGTTCTACAAATGTCATTTTAGCAACTTTAACATTGTACGTCAACTGCCAGCGTTGGGACTGGGTGGAAAAAGATGAGAGATAACGAGCTTATGACATGGAACCGTAGTATGAAAGATAGCTGTGTAGGACTGGGATCTCGGTTCATCACTCTGGTTAAGGTCCTGAATATTTTCTCACTTAGTGGCGTGATACGTTATCATAAATAGCTTAGAACATAAAACCGTTATTCTGTAGTTCTCTTTAACATGTATGATGAGAGGAACTTCCTTACCTGGGAGAAGCCTCCCACAGTTGAATTGTTAACTGAACCGCTTTTCTCATTACATGATACTCACGCTGCTTGTTTCTTCTCTTCGATCGTATTCCCTTTCCATCCCTTTTTCGCGATATCATCCTTGTATTTGTGTAACACATTTTAGTCTTGCTACCCAGTCTTACCAAATGTGTTTAAATAGGAAGTAAGATGTGACTAACTTAGCTGTGTTTGGGTTGATTTCACAAAAAGAATGTGTATTTGAGAAGGCAGAATGGAAAAATGTACATATGTTGGCGATCCCAACGTTCTTCAGTCTCTTGGGAGTACAAATACATAAGTAAACTTCACTTTCGACAGGCTCACCTCAAAGTTTTTCCTCATCCTTATAAGTACAAACACGTACTAATCTACAACGAATGAAATACTTAAGGACCTAAAGATGACTTGAATTTTAAACTATTACAAAACAGCACACTACATAGATTGAAACACTGGATCTTATCACATTGATATATTTCCCCACTAAACAATCTGAAACAACAAGCTTAACTCCTTGAGATTAACAGGTAGAAAGTCATATGTAGTATTTACACTTTACATCTGACCAGCTCACTATAAAATGGTATTATTAGCTACATCTTTGATGTGTGCTACAGTTGTTTTCAATTTGTTGATCAAGAAATTTCATAGGAACGAAAATAACGGCGTTCAGACTGCTAGCCTTTACCATTAGCCCAGATGATCTTAACCAGGCTTTTTTATTAAAGTGGGTGAAATCAATTAACATATTCGTCCTAGAGCAGTATCTTAGAGACAGAGTCAAAGACGTTCCTAAAGTTTCAGCTGGTGCATAGTGGGATTCTAACTCAGACTGCTTGATATTTGTGATTTGAAAAAGTGAAAAATCCGCTTAAATACTCTACTAGCCACATATGTTCGCTAACAGGTGTAGGTATACCTACGCATGATATATATACCATCTCTTACACATTGGTTTTGAAACAAGAAACACTCATGAGGACATCGTAAGCCCCGAATGAATATATAAATTTGGTTAGACTCACAATGAGTAATTGCTACAAAATTGTATGTGACTTAAAAGTTTGGGAGCATAAATCACAACGAAATAAAAGTCAGCTTACGAGTATTACTATACGATCCGCAAAACCATTTTACGTGAGAACCTCCAACTGAAACAGAATAATTCCACGTCGTATTAGAAGCAGATTGATTTCCGAAAACTGGATTATTCGGCATAAATCAAAACCGAACGCCAAACTACACACCAAAACAAAGAGCCCGCTTGCAATGTAAGCTTGGATTCACAACTTGGTGCTATAAAACAAATTTGTCATATAGTTTCAAACGGTTAGATAATGGATTAGCGAGGGGTTGACCTTCGGATTTTGGCTTTCTAACGCTTGTTACATCTACATCTGTAGCATCATCTGCGGGCATTCAAAGTTTTCGTCTTTTCAAATATTACACTGTCGGGCGGATGTGGGGAATTGTTCTGTTCTTTGAAATATGTTTTTAGAGAGAGAGAGAGGAATTTCCGGATTTCCATAGATATGGTTCTTGTATTATTGTATTACTACTCAAAAATGAAGTGGTGGGTTGATTATTTATCATATTCAGGCTCTCTTGAAGCGTAGAGATTTCCGAAACGTTTTATCTCATTCTAAATTTTAAGTTCTTAGTGTAGTAAAATCTGATAAACATTTCTCGAATTATCACCAGTAAACAGCCAAAGCTGATATGGCTTAGGGATGGAACATTCTGGCTCTTTATTTGGATAAGTCTGATAACAGCGAACTATGAGATAGTCGTGTAGCCAATTAATCAAACACCTATCAATGCTGATTGAATACAGTCTATCGTGGCGAAATCAGATTTCAGATTTGTGTAGTAAGAACAGAAGGCCCACATTCTGTGCTATTCCTTTTCCGGTATGCTTCCTTGAGTGTCTAGTCTTCTATTGAATGAGTCAATTGAAGATGCGGACATCACTGCTTCGGGTAACAGGTTCCAAGTACTGATGACTCGGTATAAAAACCTGTATATCACGGGTATTTTGTCCGTTCTTGGCTTTTCTAGTTGCCTGCTATGTCCAATGAAATGTCCCTATCTGGTGGGAAGAAAAAGAGAGAATATGTTAGGTCCAAAATCACTTCTTAATATTCTATACATCAATATTAGATCTCCCCATAGTCTGCGATAGGACAGAGTAAAGAGGTCCAGCTTTTCAAGTCGCTCATTGTATGGTAAACCCCGGAGTTCTGGACGTGCACGGGCAGTTGCCCTCTGTACTTCTTCCAGGGTATCCGAGTCACTTTTTAGACAGGGGCTTGCAGCCTGAGCGCAGTTCTCAAGCTTAGTTCTTGCTAGGGTTGTGTACACTGTAGTGAACATGGTAGTATCTAACTCGGTGAATGTCTGTCGTAAAGCCCATGAGTTTCTAAACCCTTAGCTGCAACCTACCAGCAGTGGGCTGTGGTCTTAATATCATGACTCACTGTCATTCCAAGATCCCTGTGAGACCGCATCACAGGTACAAGTACTTCTATGCAGTAACTATTTATCTTTGTATCCCCAAAGTGCATGTAGACACACTTGGCCACATTGATAAGCATCAGTCACTCTTTAGACCAGCTAGTCACAGTATTTCAGTCTGCCGGAAGTGCGCATACACCTGTGTCTCCGATTATTTCTCGCCAGATTTTTTACACCATCTGCGTATATTAACATTGGGAACTGTACTATACTTGAGAGATCATTTACATACAGTATAAAATGTAAAGAACCTAGAACAGAAACTTGAGATAATACAGTAAGTACTGGACTCCAGGTGGGGCACTTGCATCCACTCTTATTTTCTGTTCACGATCTACCAGGGGGTTTATAAGCCATTTTAGAAGACGTCCGTTAATGGCTAGATTTTCCAACCTCAAAAGCAGGCAATGTGTTTGCATCTTATCAAATACTTTCCGAAGTCTGTGTTGACAACATCCACTTATTTCTGATTATTTAGAGCCTTAATCCATTGCTACCTTGATATAAAAGGGTTTTTTGTGCAAGATAAACCTCTTCTGAAACCCGTGTCGTTTGATGATCAACACAATGTTGGCTTCCATGAATATCCGTATGGTCTTTCTGTCTATTAATTGCAGTAGTTTAACCGCGACACTGGTGAGGCTGACAGGTCTGTAGTTTGATGGAAGTTGTCTTGGTCCTGTTTTATGTATTGGAGTGACGATTGAATCTTTGCAGTCCATATGTAACACACCTTGGCCAAGTGACATATTGAATATCGATTACCAAATCCTCTGAATGGCATGGAGAAATCTAGTAGAACTATATGACCTAAACTCCTAGGCTCTAATAACAGAAGCAAATTACTACAAGTAGTTACCAAGTTTATATTATATGGTCCACATGGAATAAACCCGTGTAGGGATTCAGAAAAACCAAATTTTTGGCAGATTTCGGAAACTTACCTACTTACTTTCGCCTGTTACTTGTAATGAAGCATAGGCCGCCGACCAGCATTCTCCAACTCACTCTGTCCTGGGCCTTCTTTTCTAGTTCCATTTAATTCTTGTTCATTCTCCTCATGTCTGTCTCCATTTCCTGGCGTAATGTGTTCTTTTGTCTCTCACTTCTCATTAAGCCTTGGGGATTCAATGTGAGGCCTTGCCTTGTGACGCAGTTGGGTGCTTTCCTAAATCTGTGTCCCATCCACCTCCAGCGATTCTTCCCGATTTCTTCCCCCGATGGGATCTGGTTTGTTCTCTCCCACAGTAGGTTGTTACTGATAGTGTTTGTATGACATTGAATGTCTTCTTAGGCACGCCGTAGTGTCGAAGAAGTTTCCATAGTATTGTTCTGTCCACGCTATCAAATGCCTTTTCGTAGTCAATGAAGTTGATGTAGAGTGATGAATTCCATTCAATTGATTGTTCCACAATGATCTGTAGAGTTGCGATTTGGTCTGTACACGATCTATCCTTACGGAATCCTGCCTGTTGGTCACGAAGTTGGGCGTCTACACAGTCCTTCATTCTGTTTAACAATACCCTGTTGAAGACTTTTCCCTGTATTGAGAGAAGACTGATGCCCCTGTAGTTATCACACTTCCTGAGATCGCCTTTCTTCGGTATTTTGATCAGGAGTCCTTCTTTTCAGTCTTTTGGTACTTGTTCCTCATCCCAAATCTTATTGAAGAGAATGTGGAGCATCCTTGCAGTTACCGCTACGTCTGCTTCCAGTGCCTCTGTTGGAATGTTGTCTGGTCCTGCTGCTTTGCCACTCTTGATTTGTCTGATGGCCATGCAGATTTCTTCAATTGTTGGTGGGCCAACATTGATTGTGAGGTCCGTGGGTGCTTCTTCTATGTTGGGTGGGTTCAGTGGGGCTGGTCAAATCAAGAGTTCTTTGAAGTGTTCTACCCACCTGTGTCGTTGTTCTTCAATGTTGGTGATTACCTCGCCTTCCTTCCTTTCCATTGGTCGTTCTGGTTTGCGGCGGTTTCCAGAGAGTTTCTTTGTTATGTCATACAGTTGTCTCATGTTTCCTTCTCTTGCAGCCTTTACCGCCGTCGTTGCTAAATCTCCCACATATTTACGTTTGTCGGTTCTGATGCTACGCTTCACTTGTTTGTTTACTTCTGTGTATTCAGCTTGTGCCTTGGCTTTTTCTGCTCTTGTTCCACTGGTATTGATTGCTGCTTTCTTGTTCCTCCTTTCTTGAATCTTATCCATTGTATCAACAGTGATCCATTCCTTGTGATGGTGCTTCTTGTGACCCAGGACCTCATGACATGTTGAAGTGATTGCCTCTTTGATCCCCTTCCAGTCACTCTCCATAGTAGTTCCTTCTCCATTGAGTAGATCATGAAAGGCCTGGAACTTATTGCTGAGGACTATCTTGAATTTGTTGAGTTTTTCAGTATCCCGAAGAAAAGCCGTATTGAACTTTTGTGATATTGTCCGCCCCGTTGTCCAGTGCTTCTTGAGTTTCAATTTCATCTTGGCGACTAGCGAGTGAGGATCTAATGCTATATCAGCTCCTCTTGGTTCTCACGTTCTCTATAGTCCTCGTGAACTTTTTGTTGATGCAAATATGGTCGATTCGGCTCTGCGTAGTGTGATCCGGTGAAGTCCATGTAATTTTGTGAATGCGTTTATGTGGGAATATGGTGCGGCCTATGACCAGTTTATTGAAGGCACATAGGTTTGCAAATCTCTCACCATTTTCGTTCCTTTCTCCCAGTCCGTGTTGTCCCATGATGTTTTCATATCTGGTGTTGTCCATTCCAACCTTTACATTTAAATTTCCCATCAGAATGGTCGGGTGCTTTGTTGGGCACTTCTCGATGATTGACTGCAGCCTATTGTAGAATTGATCTTTAGCGTCTTCATTGTAGTCGTTGGTAGGCACATAGCATTGGATGATGTTCATTGAAATACCCTCTTTCTTTGTTTTGAACGAGGCTTTGATGATCCTTGGTCCATGAGATTCCTATCCTATAAGCGCAATTTGCGCTTGTTTGGACAACATCAATGCAACTCCTTGTGTATGTGGAGCATTTTCTTCTTCATGGCCGGAGTATAACAGGAGCTCTCCTGTAGTTAGTCGTTGTTGTCCAACTTGTGTCCAATGTGTTTCACTGATCCCAAGTACCTCTAGGTTGTATCTCCTCATTTGTGCAGCGATTTAGAAGACTCTCCCGGTGTCCCACATTGTACGCGTATTCCATGTACCTAAACAAATGGTTGCTCTGGTTGTCAGAAGGGGCATCGGCCTCGTGACTTCCGAAGGAATTAGGCTTTCATCATGAGGCGTCATAATTCTTCTAAATGAAGATCTTCTGACTCCCAGGACAGAAAACCTCGAGAACCTTTGAACCCATCATCAAAAAAGCACAAATATTTATAAACAATTTTCTACGCAAGATACTGAATGTCTGTTGACTCTATACAATCAGCAACAGCCTACTGTGTGAGAGAACAAACCAGCTTCCATCTGGAGAGGAGAAAATGGGGGTGAATAGGACACACATTACGGAAATCCTCAAACTGTATCACGAAGTAAGCGCTAACTTGGAATCGTGACTGGAAACGAAAAGTTGAAGGCCGAATAACATACTATATCGAGAAATGGCAGCAGATGTGAAAAGATTGTATAGCGATTGGAATGAACTGGAAGGGATTGCTGAGGACAGAGTACAACCATGAGGATGTGGTCATTCTGTGTAACCCCATGATTTAATGATAAATGTTACGATATACCTAACCTAAGCGTGTTCTTCAAAAGCTCTTAACAGCAACCACTGATTGTCACAATGGAACGAGTTATGGTAGACGGTGTAGCGGTAAATAAATCCCTAAAATAAATAGCTCTGTAAGTTTTCGACATTGGATGCTGACCATATGTTTTAGTGGACTCATCTAGCTGAAGGCGCTCGGTCAGGCATCCGCACCAGATCACGTGTAGTAACGCCGTGCTCAACATCAACCACAATCGCTAGCCAGATTAGATCAGAGAATCCCGGTATATTGGTCATCGCCAAATATACTCTTCCGATCTCCTCGACTCTGTCTTTTGATTTCTCTTGGTGGGAACGAAATATCTTAGAAGGTGTTACTGGTAGAAGCGTTGTCAAACACTGAATACCTGTGACATCATCATTGGTGAGACCGTCGTGATCTGGTACACCTTATTGCAACTGTGAGTCTGTTCCTTTTTGGGATTTTTATATATCATTGCCTTATTTTTTATTTTTTTTAAACATTGTGATTTTTTTTCGTGTTTTTCTTGGATTTATATATATATTTTCCCCTCGTTCATTATCGTACTTCATATTTCATCATGACTGAACAGACACCTAAAGTACTCAAGCTTAAGACCTTGTCCCCACCTTCGTTTCAACTGATGCCTTTCTGGCCCGACAACATCGAAGCCTGGTTTTGCTACGCAGAAGCCGACTTTTCCGAGCACGGCGTGATCGACACACGTGCACAATTCCTCGCAGTAGTCAAGGCACTGCCGCGGGAATTCAACAGGTACGTAACACCTAGTATGTTTACTAGTGATGTTTCCGATCCTTACGAAATCTTAAAACGCTCGATTCTTAAACGAGGAGACCTAACCGATCGACAAAGGTTAGATCAACTCTTCAACAATATCGACCTGCAACACGGTTCTGCGACGGACATGTTGCAACGGATGAGAGAGGTTATAGGCCCAAGAACTTTCGACGAAGGTCTATTCAAACAACTCTTCTTGTCAAAACTTCCCCAACAGGTGCAAGCAGTTCTGGTCTCGTTCCAGAACAACGCCTTAGACGAACTAGCTGTATCTGCCGACCGCATTCTAGAAATTACGAAACCTTCTACTACCGAGGTATTTTCAGTCAAAGAAAAGCCTCACACGACTCAGAATGACATAACCGACTTATGTCACACACTCACGCGTTATCTTAGTCTTCGTACCGACCGTAAGAGATCGCGCACACCACGTAGAAGCATTTCTCGTAAGCGATCTGTCTCTAGACCACGAGAGACAGATAACCCCGACTGGTGCTGGTATCATAACCAGTATGGAAAGTTTTCCAGAAATTGCAGAAAACCCTGCAATTTTCCCAACACGAAACCGACTGATTCGGGAAACTTCCAAGCCGGCACGCGTTAACGGCAACCGTAGCCGGCGAACAAAGCCGTCTGTTATTCGTCACAGATGTGACAACGAGAGTTCGCTACCTCGTCGACACTGGCGCAGAAGTTAGCGTTCTCCCAGCAAATCCTAACGACCGACTTCACGAATCGACCCTAAACTTACAGGCGGCAAACGGAAAACCGATCGCTACGTATGGCAAAAGGTACGTTTACCTTAACGTGGGTTTACGCAAACCCATCCACTGGATTTTCGTCGTTGCAGATGTTTCTATGCCAATCATTGGTATGGACCTTCTACAACACCACAATCTGATCATCGACACTCGCAAACGGAGGCTAGTAGACGGAAACACTAATTTGTCCGTTTGCGTAACTTCTTTTACTGGTTGTAGAGTATCCCCAGTCACAGTTAAACATATGATAGACCCACTCTATCAACCACTACTCGATAAGTACCCTGGGATACAACAAACGCAAACGAAACTACCGTGTGTAACCAGCAATGTTACACATCACATCACGACTACAGGACCACCTGTATTTTCTAAAGCACGACGACTAGCTCCTGAAAAGCTAAGGTTAGCGAAAAACGAATTCGATCACATGATGGACTTAGGAATCATACGACCGTCAAGTAGCCCATATGCATCTCCGTTGCACATGGTCCCTAAAAAGGACAGCAACGATTGGCGTCCAACTGGTGACTATCGGCGATTGAACGCGAAAACCATTCCCGATCGTTACCCGTTGCCTCACATTCACGATTTGACAGCTACCTTGAAAGGTACAACTGTCTTTTCGAAAATCGACTTGGTTAAAGCGTATAACCAAATCCCTATGGCCACTGACGACATACCGAAAACAGCTATCATAACTCCCTTCGGACTCTATGAATTTTTGCGAATGCCTTTCGGTCTAAGGAATGCTGCTCAAACATTCCAAAGATTCATAGACGACGTTTTTCGAGGTCTCAACTTCGTACACGCGTATGTTGACGACTGTCTAATCGCAAGTCCGGACAGAGAAACACATCTCAAGCATCTGGACCTTGTTTTCGAACGATTACAAAAACATGGCATAACTGTAAACGTTCAGAAATGCCAATTTGGAACCGACTCGTTAGACTTTCTGGGACACACTATCGATGCTCAAGGTATCCGACCCCTTAGAACCAAAGTGGCGGCCATTCTGGATTACCCAGAACCGACCACCGTCAAGCAATTACGCACGTTCAACGGCCTGGTAAGTTTCTATAGACGTTTCATACCCAGATGCGCATCACTTATGAAACCTCTGACCGACCAACTTCGTGGAAATGCGAAATCCATTAATTTGGACGACACCGCACGAAAAGCATTCTCCACAGTCAAGGAACTGATTGCTAAAGCAACAATGCTCGCACATCAGGACACCCGAGCACCCATTAGCATCGCAGTAGACGCATCCGACTCAGCAATCGGAGGAGTCTTACAACAATGGGTTAACAACTCCTGGCAACCCTTGGCATTTTTCTCTAGAAGGTTGCTAGACACCGAATCGAGGTACAGCACATTCGGTAGGGAACTCCTAGCTATGTATTGTGCTGTACGGCATTTCCAACACTATATCGAAGGCCGTGAATTCACTCTTTTCACGGACCATAAACCGCTCACTTTCTCGTTAAGCTCTCCTTCTGACAAGTACTCTCCCCGTGAGTCTCGACAACTGGACTACATTTCGCAGTTTACTTCAGATATTCAACACATCTCTGGAGCAAACAATGTAGTTGCAGACGCTTTATCTCGTATAACTTCCTTGAACAGTTTCCAAGGAATCGACCTTCTTAAACTCGCCGAGCTTCAAAAAGAAGACAGTGATCTTCAGCACGAGTTATCGTCCACAACACTTAAACTACGCATCAAACAGATGGGAACAGGTAAGGAAACCTTACTTTGTGACACATCTACAGGTAGGGATCGCGTTCTGGAAGAAGGGTGAGATTTCCAGAACATTTAAACGACTATTGCACGTAAGGCAGTTCTCGACATTTATATTATTTTTTTTAAAAAAAAAACAATTTTAATATGCTTATATATTTTTATTTCTATTAAAAAAACAAAACAAAAAAAACAATTTTTTAACGCTATTACGTGCTCATGAGTTTATTTTCCATTTTTTTTCCGCCGACCTTGTGTTTTTACGCATATACGAGTGTATTTTCGACATGCACTTACATTTTCTTTTTTCTTTTCCAGGACGGCTGGAAAAGAACGATGACGTTTATGAGGATCCGAAATTTTCATTGTACATTTTCTTTTTTTTACTATGTTGTACCTCCGTCCCATATAGTAAGGAAAGACGACCAGACGCTGCTAAGTTTAGTAAGCGATCAGAAGAGTGTTTACCAACGACAAACTCGTTGGGTTTAAACTTCTGGCTGGCCACGTCTTAGGGTCGTCACTGCCCCACTAGGGGGGGAGTGATCTGTAGCGGTAAATAAATCCCTAAAATAAATAGCTCTGTAAGTTTTCGACATTGGATGCTGACCATATGTTTTAGTGGACTCATCTAGCTGAAGGCGCTCGGTCAGGCATCCGCACCAGATCACGTGTAGTAACGCCGTGCTCAACATCAACCACAATCGCTAGCCAGATTAGATCAGAGAATCCCGGTATATTGGTCATCGCCAAATATACTCTTCCGATCTCCTCGACTCTGTCTTTTGATTTCTCTTGGTGGGAACGAAATATCTTAGGTGTTACTGGTAGAAGCGTTGTCAAACACTGAATACCTGTGACATCATCAACGGCAATTTGACTTCCACGTAATGTCTGGTAGATTAGGTAGTCATATTATGGCAGATCTACAACTTTCTATCAGGTTTATTATTCTACTAGCAAAGATACGTGCACTTATACCAGTCTGAACCTTAATTCTACATTATATCGCTACGGTACTAAAAAAGAGTGGAGAGAAAAACGAGGAATAGAAACAAGTATTAGTGACTAGTAAATTTGGGTCATTTGGGATAAAATACATATGGTGTAGTTGCTTGAACGTACTTCCACACTTCAGGTCGATTGTTATACACGTTTATAAGAAGCCAATTTTATGGTAAAGAGTGGGTAAATGACTATATCAATGGTGGGGATTCAAAAGAAGTGAAAAGTTCGGAGTTATGTAAACCTCTCAAAAGTAGTTAGGGACATATAGTTTTTGGATGCACAGATGACATTCTTCCATGATATTTGCAACGCACATTATTTTAGGGGACAGTGGTATTCTTCCATGCCTAGTTGAATTTATAGTTTTAATCAGTTATAACGAGCCAAGATCACCGCTTTCAGTTTAGTTGAACTGATTTCAGTCAAAGTAACACCAAAAACTACTCTTTGAAAGTGATTTTGCACCTGTGCTTTTATTCAGTGCATGTTTTTCGTTGCATATCTCTCCATCGAACTTAGCAGTTCACGGTTCCCTTTTTATGGTCATTAGTTTCTGTCTTAAAGAGTCCTTTTGTCTGAGACATTTGAAAACCCCTAATTGATGACTAGACTGTGGAAAAGAAGCAATTGTCTTCGCACGAGCTGTTGATACCCCTTGGAATGCGGCATGGAGTGGGATAAGTGCAAAGGTTGATACCACAAAATTTTCCGGAATCTAACACCCGTGATTTTCAAACAGTTTCGTAAAAAAGAGTGCTTTTGGTTATACCAGTATAATTATTCTGAGGAAAAGACCTTGCAATCCGAACCCATTGCGATGGTAGATTTTGCTAAAAGACACTTCGGCAACGGCGACCTAGTTGAATTTAATGGTGCTCGCTCTGTTGATACACAAATCCATATACAACCATCCTAAATAAGTTCAGAGTCAATCGACTTACATCGGCCAAAGGAGAAAGGACAGACTTTAGAGACAACTGTGAGAAACGAAACCCAAGAAAGGAGGCTGCTTTTGTGTCCCGCTCTCCAAATAGCAACAGTCTGGAAACGTCCAGAAAACCTGGTAGCAAAGCCAAGTCTGTCTGTAGCAGAAAGAACAACAAACCTGACTACTCAAGTCATTGGCAATCATCCAGGATTTAACAATGTGTATAACACTACTGTGATTATTATCGTGGTAAAAAACTGGTGAGTGGGTGCAAATGAAGAATTAAAACGACCCAATGTCTTTGAAGAGTCATCATTCACCCAAGCAGTAGTTGATAAGTCGAAGTTTAATCAGATCAATCATCGCCCATAAAGTCAAGGAGAGTGAAAGCTCAAGACCCAGAAGTTAATGAGTTTACTACATACTAACCACACATAATCCCATACTCTCAGCTCCTTTCTGAATAGCCTCGATTTGTCAGTTGTATGTTCATTCATACATTGTTTACACTTATTTTCTTTAACCCATTAAAATGCTCTTGCTTAACAAATACCTTAATAAAAGAAAACTAGACTGAGTAGTCATATCTTAAACATTCCTTCATAAATACTGGCTACTCTACCTCTCGTCCTTTCTTCTACTTGCTCCCTCTTTCAGCTCCTTTGAGATATGGAACGGGTGACTTCATCCTGCACCATCCTTAAAGCCTTAGATATTCCAAAGGGACATAAGGTTGCGATTTCTAGAAGCTCCCACCTTCAATGGACCTATCCTTGACCAACAGTTGCACATTCGCAACGCAACTTTCATGAAGCGGGCTAACTAAGATACTGACTAAAACCATCTACATTCATACCTTATAAATTATCAACCCAGCTGAGTAATTTACTACAATGGATATTGTATCGTTTGTAACAATTTGATCTTGCCTGTAAACTTGCATGCCTCATGTAACAAACTGTTATTTGAGAATAAATTATTATTATTATTAAAAACGCCTAAAGAGAGACAGCAAGCTGTTGGAAAAGGTTCTGAGAACCACAAGTAAGCTGATTTCCGGAATAATCTGGCCCCACTAATATGATAGCTTTGCTAAACTAAATCTACATTTTGTCATACAAAAGAGATGGAGGTAACTTTATCACAGTTTTTAAATTACTTAATGATAAATTTGCACCTGATATACCCTCACTTTATCGCCCTTTTAAAACATAGAGCTTGAGCAGACACGCGAAAACGTTCTTACCCCCAGAACAAAGTACTTGCCAGTTGACTATTGACTTTCTTGTCGAATCATTAACGGATGGAATCGATTACCTGAACGGACGATTAAAGCTCCATCTGTCGGCGCTCTCAAAAGAAGGTTGTATCAAATGAGAGAACACCACTGTTAGGACTACCACAAGTCACCCAAACTCCTGTCCTTTTCAAACTGAAGCCGAACATTATTACTGCTCGTTTTATATTATTACTACTTTTCTAAAGCCATTTTTGTCATACAAAAGAGATGGAGGTAACTTTATCACAGTTTTTAAATTACTTAATGATAAATTTGCACCTGATATACCCTCACTTTATCGCCCTTTTAAAACATAGAGCTTGAGCAGACACGCGAAAAACGTTCTTACCCCCAGAACAAAGTACTTGCCAGTTGACTATTGACTTTCTTGTCGAATCATTAACGGATGGAATCGATTACCTGAACGGACGATTAAAGCTCCATCTGTCGGCGCTCTCAAAAGAAGGTTGTATCAAATGAGAGAACACCACTGTTAGGACTACCACAAGTCACCCAAACTCCTGTCCTTTTCAAACTGAAGCCGAACATTATTACTGCTCGTTTTATAT